GAAATCTCTTAATAAATTTTGGTTAGAATGATAGCAAATAATGGAGTTAGCTCCCCTTAGTTGTTAATTTCTAATGCATTTCAACCAAATTATATCTTGAATTACCAGAACAGGAAAAGGAAACAAAAGTTATATTTGTACACCATTATACATTTTGAACATAAATTAATGTAAACTTGAGTGGGTTTTTGTTTGTCATGTTTTCACCACTGCCTGATTCTTAGGCAGATCGGCACTTAAATATTGGTTCAAACCTTCATACATGTAATTCATATTTCAATATCTTGGATAATGTTTTATTGATAACTGTATCAGTCACCTAACAAATATACAGAAATTACATACCATTTTACACACAATGTTTGGACATTATCCTATGTTACAGGTTAACAATAAATAATTTCAAAAACACGCAAATGTTTGTTTCAAAACCTGTTAACATCTATCATAAACCTATTAATATATAGGCCAAATATACGATTTTTTTCTGCACTTCTTAATACACAATGTATTTATGTTGTTTTTTTTTAATTACAAAAGTTTATTAAAGGACATTTAAAAAAATAAACTGTTACTAAATATTTTTTCATCACAAAAGTTTATTTAAGGACATTTAGAAAAATAAACTGTTACTAAATATTTTTCCTGACAAAAATATACATGTATTATCATTGGTCATGTTCATGGGACATATATAAAGGTTTGATAGAAAGATAGTCTGAGATATATTCTGTCCAGACAACAGAACTCTGAAATATATTGTAAATTGCAACAGCCATACATGTATTACCTTCTTCAGACTACTTTGATTGGTCTATAATTTTAACAAACTCTACATGTATTTCTTTTTGTTCGTTGGTTCAAATTTTTGTGGGTTGAGGGGAAAATTGTATTCTTGGATTTATAGATTAATGTTGATCATCACAACGAGATTGATTTTCTCACTTGAGCTGGTACGGCGAAAGTGAGAAAAGCAATCGAGTTGATATGACCAATGATAATCTGTTTATCGCTATTTTACCTATGACGACGTTGTCAATTTCATTGACAACGCCACATGCCCCCTTAGTTTCTAGCAATAATTTTCATATCACTCGACTCCACTGAGAAAGGAAATTATCAGTTAGCATGATCAAAGGAAAATTTCGTAAAATAGCGATAAATTTGATTACATGGTTTTTCCAAAGTCTGCATACAAATGTTAAGACAATTTGTACTTCCTTGAACATCTAACTCATGGTTCACCAATTCCAACAAAATACACAACAATTGGTGTCGACGTATATTAATGAATCAACAGTATATGCATCCCTGGTTAACATAATTTCACAACTCGATACAATCCATAAATAAAATGCTCCGCTGGGTGCAGCTTGATACAACTGCAGAGGTCGAACCCTGAACAGTTGGGGCAAGTATGGACACAACATACAAGCTTGATACAGCACTGAATTTGGATTGTGATTAAATATTTGACACAGCACAGGTTTCTGACACAGAATGAATGTGGTCTAAGAACTTAAAAAATTTTAATTTACCTATTCAAACCATATCATTATTATTTGCTTTTATATATAAATCAGAATTAACCAATTTAAAATGGACAATTTTAAAGACAAAAAAAGGAAAAAAAAATCCCCCCCCCCCCAAATTTTTTGAACCCCCTTATGATTCATCACCCCCAAACTCAATCCCAGCCTTCCCTTTGTGGTATGTTACCTGCAGTACAATTTCAGAGAGATCCATACACTTGAACACAAGTTATTGTCTGGAAACTAGAAAAATTCGTAAGGGTTCCGCGGAACCCAGTGTCTCGCCTACTTTTGGTGTTAATCGCAGGCTCAACAAAAATGAGGAAAAAAATTAATAAAAATATTCCCCTCTATACTATGTTTTGATTGTAAGTAGCTTCTGTCCAAGTTTGGTAAAAATCCAGGATAATTTATGAATCTAATAAATGTTTTAAAAACTTAAACTGCAGAATGTATGTAATGTTGACTGGAAGAAAAACAAAGTCCATTTATAAGTAAAATACAGAAAAAATGAACAAAATTTTATCAAAATTTCCTTCTAGATACTAGCTTTTGATCATAAACAAGCTTCTGTCCAAGTGTGGTACAAATCCAGGATAGTTTAAGAAAGTTGTTAAAATTTTAAAAACTTTAACCACAGAGTGAATGTAATGTTAACTGGCAGAAAAACTTAGTCCATTTATAAGTAAAATACGGAAAAATGGAATTTTTTTTTTACAAAATTTACTTCTGGATACTATCTTATGATCATAAACAAGCTTCTTTCCAAGTTTGGTATAAATCCAGGATAGTTTAAGAAAGTTATTAAAATTTCAAAAACTTTAACCACAGAGTGAATGTAATGTTTCCTGGCAGAAAAACTTAAGTCCATTTATAAGTAAAATACGGAAAAATGGATTTTTTTTTTTACAAAATTTACTTCTGGATACTATCTTATGATCATAAACAAGCTTCTTTCCAAGTTTGGTAGAAATCTAGGATATTTTAAGAAAGTTATTGAAATTTTAAAAACTTTAACCACAGAGTGAATGTAATGTTAACTGGCAGAAAAACTAAGTCCACTTACAAGTAAAATACGGAAAAAATGGAATTTTTTTTTTACAAAATTTACTTTTGAATATAATCTTATGATCATAAACAAGCTTCTGTCCAAGTTTGGTAGAAATCCAGGATAGTTTATGAAAGTTATTAAAATTTCAAAAACTTTAACCACAGAGTGAATATTTGTGGACGCCGCCGACGACGACGACGCCGACGGAATGTAGGATCGCTATGTCTCGCTTTTTCGACAAAAGTCGAAGGCTCGACAAAAATGCTTGTTTTTTGGCCCCAAATTCCTAAACGTTTAAGGCAATTACCCCCAAACTCAAACCTAGCTTTAATACCCTTTGTGATATGGAACCTTGTAGTACAATTTCATAAAGATCCATACACTTACACACAAGTTATTGTCCTGAAACTAAAAAAATGCTTGTTTTTTTGCCCCTTTTTGGCCCCTAATTCTTAAAATTTTGAAGCAATCACCCCCAAAATCAATCCCAGCCTTCCCTTTGTGGTATGGTACCTTGCAGTACAATTTCAGATAGATCCATACACTTGAACACAAGTTATTGTCTGGAAACTAGAAAAATGCTTGTTTTTTGGCCCCTTTTTGGCCCCAAATTCCTAAACGTTTAGGGCAATTACCCCAAAACTCAAACCCAGCTTTTCCTTTGTGTTATGGAACCTTGTAGTATAATTTCATAAAGATCCATACACTTGAACACAAGTTATTGTCTGGAAACTAGAAAAATGCTTATTTTTGGCCCCTTATTTCTAAACGTTTTGGGCAATTACCCCCAAACTCAATTCCAGCTTTTCCTTTGTGATATGGAACCTTGTAGTACAATTTCAGAAAGATCCATACACTTACACACAAGTTACTGTCATGAAACTAGAAATATGCTTGTTTTTTGTGCCTTTTTTGGCCCCTAATTACTAACATTTTGAGGCAATTACCCCCAAAATCAATCCCAGCATTCCCTGTGTGATATGGAACCTTGTGGTACAATGTCAGAGAGATCCATACACTAACACACAAGTTATGTCTGGAAGTTACAAAAATACTTATTTTTGGCCCCTTATTCCTTAACTGTTTGTACAATAACCCCAAAAATCAATCTGAACCTTCCTTTTGTGGTATTGAACCTTATGGTAAAATTTCATAGATATCCATTAACTTAAACTTAAGTTAGAGTGCGAAAACCAATGTGTCTTTGGACGACGACGACGACGCCAACGTCGTACCAATATACGACAGTAAAAATTTTTTGCGGTCGTATAAAAATCAGATACAACTACAAATAACAATTATTATATTTTTAGTATTTCAACAATGATTGCAGATATAACAAATATAACAGTACCAGTATACACTTACTGACTGGTTATGAGGGAAATAGCAAGTTTGTTGTCCCTGAGATAGCAACTATTGTTTGAGGCAAAGCAGACCCCAACAGTTGGTATCAAACTTGCTATTACCCTCATAACCATTCATTAAGTGTTCTACTATAACAAACAAAACAACTTCTAAAAATATCTACTAATTGCATGTTGGAAGAACAAATAGTCAAATATACTTGAGCAAGATGAAGTTTTTTTATATCCACCCATGTGGAATTGTAAATATTTAATTTAATTACTGTAATCAAAACCAGGAATCCTTGTACATACATTTGTTATGTTGCAGTTTTTTGAATATGTTACATAGATTTTCTTTTTTCTTTTTTAATTGTTCCTGGTACGAAGTACATTAATTTGAAAAAGTAACATTAAACACCTTCCCAATTTATTTTTTCATGTTTTATGCCTAAAAAATGGCAAGTGAAAAATTCAGAAGAAAAATCATAAATAGGGTCATGAATTTTGATTTAATGTAGTGATTTGGTGTAGGTAAAAATTTTTTTTATTTCAAACTAGTGCATCTGAAACTGTCACACCTGGGATTCAAACTCACAACCTCAGTGTTGACAGGCTAGTGATACAGTAGTTTGACTACTTAGACTATTCAGCCACAGAGGCCACAGAGGCTACTCAATCCAATGGATGATAAAAGTTATAAATTAATGTAGTAAAAATATATGTTTTCATAGGACACTATGCCCTGCTCATACTACTGTAAATTCAGATATTATTGCGATGTTTTTATTATTGCGAAAAATGCGACAGGGTTATTATCGCAATAATTTAAACTCGCATTTTAAAATTTTTTATATGAATTAAACAGGACTTTTCTCAATATCGCAAAAATTAAAATCGCATTTTAGTCTAAAATGACAAAATCGCAATAATTAATGCACGCAATAATTTCTGAATTTACAGTATTAAATTTTTATGTTCAATGGACCGCAAAATCTGGGTGAAAACCCTAATTTGGCAATATATATTCTAAAAAGATCACATCACCATGAACAAGTGTCAGTGTGAACTAAGTTTTAAGTTGATGTGATCACAAGTTAATGGTCAACTACCTTGACAAAAAATTCTAACCTGATACTCAATACTGGATAGATGATTGATTGATTGGTGATTACTTTATGCGGCAATACGGGATAGACAATAATAGACGATTGCACAGATTAGACAACACAATACCTCCCCTCTATTGTAGGCAGGGCATAAAAAAATATAAAGACCTACAATTAAGGAATTAAAGATAACCCGTTTGTAAATATCTGATTAATTATACATCTTCCTATTGCCACCACTTTTAGTACATCTATTCAGAGGATTTAACAGAATCTGGAATATTTATTTCTAACTGTTTATGATAACGTCTTTCATACGTTTTTCGCAACTGGTCCCAAAACATTAAACTCAGAACAGAATGAGGAGCAATCCTTATAAAGGATGGTCCCCAGCCTTTGTAAAATCCCCATGGTCCCTCCTTTTTCATGATTTTGAATCCACAGTCTAGTAGGTTTTTATAATACAGTCCTTTTCCATTAGCATCCACTCCTTGGTTATATAAGCGAGTACACATTACATCAGGCGGAGTCATGAACACTGTCAATACAATACCACTAATTATACTAGCACAGAATGGAATGAGTATTGATGTGTCACTGAATACCTGAAAAGTAAGTATAATATAGGTACATTATTGTTCATAAATCATAAATAACAATTCAAGCTTTTAAGCTAATAATGAAAATAAAGAACTAGAGGCTCTCAAGAGCCTGTATCACTCATTTGTATCTGCTGTGATTTGGAAATTATGTAAAATAAGGTTTAAATCATAATAAATAGTATTAGATACCCTAATAATGATTAAGGCCAAGTTTGGTTTAACTTGGCCTAGTAGTTAAGTTAAAAGCAGGTCATCCCACTAGTGACTAGACTTACAATAGTTACTGAAGACCCCTTATCATTATTTAAATTAGTTTTTAATTGTGACAATTTTCCCTAAGACTTCTATTGTAAATCCCTATGTTCTATTTTTAGCCATGGCGGCCATGTTGGTTGGATGGCAGGGTCATCGGAAACATTTTTTGTTAAAAATTTACTATTAAGGTCATTGACTCCTTAAGGGGTCAATTGACAATTTTGGTAATGTTGACTTAATTGTAGATCTTACTTTGCTGAACATTATTGCTGTTTTATAATACAGTTTATCTCTATCTATAATAATATTCAAGATAATAACCAAAAACTGCAAAATTTCCTTAAAATTACCAATTCAGGGGCAGCAACGCAACAACGGATTGCCTGATTCGTCTAAAAATTTCAGGGCAGATAGATCTTAACCTGATGAACATCCCCCCCCCCCCCCCCCTGTCAGATTTGCTCTTAATGCTTTAGTTTCAGAGATATAAGCCAAAAAATGCATTTTACCCCTATGTTCTATTTTTAGCCATGTTGGTTGGCAGGCAGGGTCATCGGACATATTTTTTAAACTAGATACCCTATCCATGATTGTGGCGAAGTTTGGTTAACTTTTACCCAGTAGTTTCAGAGGAGAAGATTTTTGTAAAAGTTAACAAAGACGGACGAAGATGGATGCCAAGTGATGAGAAAAGCTCACTTGGCCATTAGGGCCAGGTGAGCTAATAATACATATAAAACAAGAATAACTAATTAGCTTTTATGATTAAAAAAAAAATTGTTTTTTTCTTTTGAAAATTTCAACATTAATATTTGATGGTTCAGTCTTCTCTCTCTAAATTTTGCTTCACAATTGTAACAAAGCTTTGCATTAAATTTTCATATTTCAGTTATTTTTCCAAATAGATATAAGAAGATTTGCTTCATAAGTCTTGTGAGTTTAAAGTTTTAATGATAGTTGCTGTTGCTGATGGAAACTATAGCTAACTTAAGATTTTGTCATTGTAAATGCTAATGATAAACAAGCATTCTGAGAGTACTGCATGGCAATACATAGTCCCCTACCGGGTAAAAATTCATTATACTGGAACAAAATGTTAACTTGTTCTATAACTTGTCATGGTGTAAACAAAAAGTAAATATCATGTCAATATCTTCAAGCATGACTAAAAACAGTGTGGAAAACTGATTTTATGAGTGAATTCTTCAAGTCCAAGGACCATAACTCTGCTCAAAATTATTAGACCGAAACAAAAATTTGAACTTGATCTGTAACTTGTCATGATAAAACTATTTACCAATTATCAATCAATATCTTATAAGCATGATGAAAAAAACATTAGATATGATTAATAGTTCTCTAAAATTAGATATGATGTAATACAGTGTATATCTATTTTCAAATTATAATCAAATATAATTAATAGTTCCAAATATTTTTTCTTTCATTTGTCACAAACTAATATAGATTTGTAACTTATCTATAAAATGTCAACAACTTTTATCTACACAATGTAATGTATTGAAATATATACATTAATAATAAAATGCTCCGCTGAGCGCAGCTTGATACGACCGCAGAGGTCGAACCCTGAACAGTTGGGGCAAGTATGGACACAACATTCAAGCTTGATACAGCACTGAATTTGGATTGTGATTAAATATTTGACACAGCATAGGTTTCTGACACAGAATGAATGTGGTCTAAGAACTTAAATTTTTTTAATTTACCTATTCAAACCATATCATTATTATTTGCTTTTATATATAAATCAGAAATAACCAATTTAAAATGGAAAATTTTAAAGAAATAAAAAATCCCTCCCCCAAATTTTTTGAATCCCCTTATGATTCATCACCCCCAAACTCAATCCCAGCCTTCCCTTTGTGGTATGGTACCTTGCAGTACAATTTCAGATAGATCCATACACTGGAACACAAGTTATTGTCTGGAAACTAGAAAAATGCTTGTTTTTTGGCCCCTTTTTGGCCCCAAATTCCTAAACATTTAGGGCAATTACCCCAAAACTCAAACCCAGCTTTCCCTTTGTGATATGGAACCTTGTAGTATAAGTTCATAAAGATCCATACACTTACACACAAGTTATTGTCCTGAAACTAGAAAAATGCTTGTTTTTTCCCCTTTTTGGCCCTTAATTCCTAAAATTTTGAGGGAATTACCCCCAAAATCAATCCCAGCCTTACCTTTGTGGTATGGTACAATGCAGTACAATTACAGAGAGATCCATACACTTGAACACAAGTTATTGTCTGGAAACTAGAAAAATGCTTATTTTTGGCCCTTTATTCCTAAACGTTTTGGGCAATTACCCCCAAACTCAATTCCAGCTTTCCCTTTGTGATATGGAACCTTGTAGTACAATTTCATAAAGATCCATACACTTACTTACAAGTTATTGTCCTGAAACTAGAAAAATGCTTGTTTTTTCCCTTTTTGGCCCCTAATTCCTAAAATTTTAAGGCAATTACCCCCAAAATCAATCCCAGCCTTCCCTTTGTGGTATGGTACAATGCAGTACAATTTCAGAGAGATCCATACACTTGAAAACAAGTTATTGTCTGGAAACTAGAAAAATGCTTATTTTTGGCCCTTTTTTCCTAAACGTTTAGGGCAATTACCCCAAACTCAATTCCAGCTTTCCCTTTGTGATATGGAACCTTGTAGTACAATTTCATAAAGATCCATACACTTACAGACAAGTTATTGTCCTGAAACTAGAAAAATGCTTGTTTTTTCCCCTTTTTGGCCCCTAATTCCTAAAATTTTGAGGGAATTACCCCCAAAATCAATCCCAGCCTTCCCTTTGTGGTATGGTACCTTGTGGTACAATTTCAGAAAGATCCATACACTTACACACAAGTTATTATCATGAAACTAGAAAAATGCTTGTTTTTTGCCCCTTAATTCCTAAAATTTTGAGGCAATTACGCCCAAAATCAATCCCAGCATTCCCTTTGTGATATGGAACCTTGTGGTACAATGTCAGAGAGATCCATACACTAACACACAAGTTAGGTCTGAAAGTTACAAAAATGCTTATTTTTCGCCCCTTTTTGGCCCCTTATTCCTAAACTGTTGGTACCATAACCCCCAAAATCAATCCCAACCTTCCTTTTGTGGTATTGAACATTATGGTAAAATTTCATAGAGATCCATTTACTTTAACTAAAGTTAGAGTGCAAAAAACCAATGTGTCTTCTGACGACGACGCCAACATCATACCAATATACGACAAATTTTGCGGTCGGATAAAAATAGATAATTTTCAAATTAAAGGATTTCTCTTCATAATTTTTTTGTATATATATAGCATTCGGAAAATTAGTTTATACTAAATAACAAACAAACCTGCCAAAAAATACTTCAAATTATTTAACAAAGAATGTCTTTTTAAAAAATAAGTTATCTCCCTTTGTACGGAAATATGGTTTAACATAGTACTCTAACATTAGATATGGTCCATAACTCTGGACTTAATCATCAGACCGGAACAAAATTCGAACTAGATCTATAATTTGTCATGATAAAACTATATACCAAATATCAAAGCAATATCTTCAAGAACGAAGAAAAAAGTGTGGAAAGCTGATTTGCCGGACTGACAGATGGACAGACGGACAGACGGACGGAGTGCAAACCTAAAGTCCCCTTTGACTTCTTCGGTAGGGGACTAAAAAGTAATATGAAGGTCATGCCTGTTGCTTACTGGATGTCTTTTGAATATGGTCTTATGATCCCATTGACCTACATCGATCATTTCCCTAATACATAGCTAGATATAGTACATGGATCTGATTTCTATAGATTAATGTGTTTTCAAATGATCCCACTTTTTTATGTACAAACATTCAAAAAGACAGCAAACTTTTTTAACAGTCTATCATATTTTTGGTATGACATTAAGACACATTTGTGTGTGGTAACTAAGCTTAAATTATCAGCAAACCAAATAACCCTTCAAAGTTATCTTTTACTTACCTTCAAACTAAGTATATATTCTTTGGCAGTAGAAAAAGTTGTGAGTTGAGCAGCAGATCCAATCATTACCCTTAACATGGCCCCAGTAACTCCTCTCCATAAGCCTCCTATACCATGCTCCTTCAGGATACCAGTAAAACCTTCCATCATGCTTCCATGTCTGTGCTGGTACCCTACAGCAATAGAACTAGCTGATCTACTCTGAAGTTGTGTTTTAACCTGAAAAAATAGGGGGAAAACATTAAACAGACATTCTACATTATAGGTTTGTTATGTTCTGTGAATTTTTAACCCATGACTAATAAATAATCTCACCAAACAATGCACAATGCATCTGCAGATGTCATACTTGTTTTTAAACAATAAATTGCAGGTGCCCAGCAGAGTTTCATCATTCTGAAATCACTCTAACTCTTATATGGAAGGAGAATACCGATATACAACATATACCAAAACTATGCCATCTTGCTCGACATTCTACTATAAAGTAAGAGATTTGCAATAATGAATTACTGTGATAGTGCTTCTAATGGTGTACCATGGTGGTCACTGGTCAGTATTAATTCAAAACCACTGTCACTCCCTTATTTGAGAGCTGTTCCATACAATAATACATGGTATCCAGTGAAAGCATTTTAAAAATGGGGTGACCACCTATAGAGGCTATTTATAATTTTTTTTTACATTTACATTGTACTTCACACCAACTGCTAGATGAAATTTCTTTAGGCCCTTCAATTGGACCCATGCATGTTTTTATGTTACAGCTTTAATAACTATCATGACTATCTCATTTGAAACAATATTATAAACTCAAATAAAAAAGATGTCATTTTAAATATTTTTTAAACACATATTTTGCTATATAATATATATGCAAGTAAACAAAATTAACAATATTTGATTAAATGATAAATATGACACTTTCATGACTTTAAAAGTTTCAGAAACCTGATTCTAATCATGTTCTTCAGTTTTTACTGTATAGCATAGCATTATACACATCATGTTTATCAAACAATGGTAGTCTTAACATTATATGTGGATTAAAAGTGAAAATGTATTGCTAATAAACAATTTTACTAGAAATTATATATCGTTTAGATTGGCATATTTTCTCTCTCCAGTACATGCAGTCAGGGGTGCTACTTGTACAAGTTATTTTTATTTACTTGAATATTAAATATTAATATACTTATATAAGTAAATTTGTAAGATACTTATACAAGCCTATTTTTTATTTACTTGTATAAGTAAATTATTTTAATGGCTTAGTTATGTCCCTTAGACATTAAGATTTTTTTACTTTTACAACATGTACAAGTGAAAAAGTCATACTACCGGTATCTTCTTTTCTTGAATTTTGCAGGACTTCTTTGCTCTAATAGAATTTTTAATTGTCTGTCCTTTGCAGATGTTTTTTACTAATCATTTAAGTGTAATTGCATGGACAATGAAAATCTCATTTGTCTGTTATCTTCAAAACACTGCTCATTTACAAGCCTCCAAGGGGCAATTTTTGAAGGCCTTGCACATTTACTTAAAATCTTTGCGCAATTAGTTTCTTTCTTGAATTAATGAGATGAAAGGTTGAACTCTAATAAAAAATTATGAGCTAACCAGCATGACCAGAGAAAATTGTTAAAGGCATGTTTTTACATCCCAAAACTTTTAGGGATTGTAAAAAAAAATTACTTTAAAATAAAAGTTTTTTTTTTTAAATAAGGGGAGATTATTCAAACCTTATAAGAAAATATGAATATAACAAATTTACTTTTATAAGTATATTATTATTTACTTCTTCAAGAAAATAAAAATAAATTGTACAAGTAGTACCCCTGACTCAGGCTGACTGACATGCAATATGTCACGATTTTTTTTTTACTACTGTTACATATATATCTATTTATAGGCCTGTATTTAATGAAGGATAATGTTAGTGGCCATAATTTTTCTGAAGAATTTGATTTTGATCTCTCGAGCTAATAACCATATATTACATGTATCACTAAGGCAATCATGGATGATCATGACTCTATTGCACATTCATTGGTAAGTAAAAATTATTAACCTACCGTACGTTTAAATTTTAAAGTTTCAATCAAATTTGTTGAATTGTATCATCATTTAATGGACACTTACTATTTAAACGTGTTATAATTTTAATTGCCGTTTGTGCAGTTTTCAACTAGCTATGAACACCTGTACAAATGTAGTTATTAAAGATAAAATATGTGCAACTCTTCATTAAAACTAAGGTCTTTGCATAAAAGCTGCCAATCAAACAAAATAATCATTACATGCATCACGTGCATGGATAAAGAAATGTAATTGGAAACATTATAATTATATAATGTTGCAACATTAAAATACTAATTTTTATGGGCAATTATATCTGCACCTAACAAAGTATCAAACAGGAGCAGATCCAAGATTTGAAGTAAGAGGGGCCTTACATTGATAAGGAGCTGGGTGGAAAATGTGAAGAAAACGTTAAGGTATTTTTTGGATTTAAGGGGGGGGGGGGCACAAGCTGCTGCACTTCCACCTGAAACCCATCCCTGATTTATACCATAATGCACAAAACATTATACATTTGGGTATTAATCAATCTGTCCATTCATACATGTAATAGAAATTCATTTATTATTACAGCTCTTCTTTGTATGACAAAAATGGTATTGACATTGGGAGTTAAAATCTACCACAAACATTCACATCAACTTTCTATGAAAACTGAGAATACATCACTTTACCAAACAGCTAAAGTTATTTATTCTATTGATTGTAAAGTTCAATTATAATAACACATAATACAGTCATGACAGTTAAAGAGCAAATTTATACAATTTAGATATATATATATATATTCATTTAAGAAATAATTCTTTCATGGCATGCTCTATGCTCATTTTAACATTGGTACGCATTATATTTGTCGATATCTTTATACCGAGGGTTAGCGGGGTGCAAAATATTGACAAATATAATGCCTACCCATGTTAAAATGAGCATAAAGCATGGCATGATAGAATTATTTCGATTCTGATAGGAAAATTTAGCACTTTTGTACTTCGAAGCGGACCTGTAATACACGTTTCGAAAGGCAAGCCATTTTGATTTGATGAACCAAAAACGTTATAAAAAATCAACAGTTGAACGATTAAAAAATGAACAGATACATTTGAACTTACTATTAGAATGATTTTATTTAATTTCCTAGTGAGCAACACCAACACAAACGTCCATTTTGATCTCAGACGTTGTTCAAAATACAAATGATGTTGCAATTTCAATTGTGACGTCAATCACATGCAGCCCATGTTTTATTGTAATTAGAACACGGCTTTGTTTCAAAAGCAAAAGAAGAACGTCATATTAGAATTTACATTTAACATGTTTAAGCTAAATCATCTGTAAAATGATCATGGATCTAATTCATACACAAATGAAGGAATGACAAGAGTATGAAGAAATAAAATTTAATGTTATTTTATAATTCTTGAATTCAATGAACTCCAGCATGTTCAGCAGGGGGAAATTTATTTTGAGAAATTTAATTTGTATATTTTACCATATAAAATGGACTTCCAACTATTGCCCCAACACAGCCAGCCGAAGCTCCACCTAATATACTCTTTAGAAAACTGACTTTACCATCACTTCCATTTAATAGTCCTAAATTAGTCATGATCTGGTATGATCCTAACCTCATCCCATTCATAAACAACTGGTACCACAGGGCAGGAACCAGTCCACTCTGTAGTCGAATGATTCCATCACTTTTGAATATTGTGTAAACGGCATGAAGAGAGTTACGATAATGAACGGCATAGTGTCCTCTTGCTTTAAGTTCACCTTGCAGCTGCATACGTGTTTTTACAACTTCAAGGGGATTGGTGAAAAACCCTGCTCCAACAGCTGCAAGCCCGCCTAGCAGCATTTCTTCATGAGGCCTTCCAGGCATGTTGTCTGGGTACTGGATGCTCTGTAACAATCACTTATGTCATTTTACACCTGTAAAATTAAAAACAATGTAATTGACTATATACACCATATATTACAATAAGTCTGCTACTGTAAATGCTGCAAAATTAAATCAAACCATTTTCTACATAAGAGAATGCCTGTGCCATGTGTACCCAGTCAGGAATATGACAGCTGTTTTCCATTCGTTTGATGTGTTTTAGCTTTTGATTTTGCCATTTGATAAGGGATTCTGTTTTGAATTTTCCTTGGATATTTTTGTTATTTTCCTTTTTTTTCAAATACACTATGTACATGTACATGATGTATGGATTGATTAGTATGATACTTTTACCAATTTCAAGACTTTCTCTGTAAATCTTGAGTGGAATCAAAGGGAATTTCATCCAAGTGAAGTTTTGTTCAGTATGATATTTAATAACAACACTATAGCAATAATTTAAAGGCAAATCTTTTGTTGAAAAATATTGAAACATAGAGAACCAATTTCATTTCCTTGTCACTAATTACATGCAGTACTTCTGCATCTTATAGCTTACTACCCATGCAGGAACAAGAGTAAGAACTATGAGTTTTGCTCATTGATGAAGGTAGTACAGTAATCTGCTAGTGTTCACATCTTTGTCCTCTGGTCTTGATGGATAGTTTTCTCATTGCAATCATTACATCTTATTAAGTTTTATATTGTAGGCATAATTAAATGTTATTGATAATATGAGATTTATTAAGAGAGAGCCTTGAGATTTGTTTATGAGGATTATGATAGCTCATATGAAGATCTTTAATGCGAGTCAAAACTTCATTCTCTTTAAGTCAGAGAATTAAGAGCAATAGCTATAGAAACTTTTAAATTGTACACAAAAAGAGTCCATTATATTTAAATGTTTTGAATAATATTAACAAGAGGCTCTCAAGAGCCTGAATTGCTCACCTTTAATTTTTTGCTTAAATCTTTCATCAATGATTATTTTTGCTTTTCAATATATATTAATGAGTGGCGTAAAAATGCCATTTAGATGTTCTTTGTATCTGTCATATTTTCTTCAAAAGCAAAAAAATGTATTTTACCCTATGTTCCATTTTAGCCATAGTGGCTATGTTTCTTGTTGTACAAGGAAATAAAATATAAAATTTATATTGGATACTCTGAAACTCATTCAGTCCAAGTTAGGCTGAAATTGATTCAGCAGTTTCAAAGGAGAAGATTTTTTGAAGTAAGCAATCTAGATGAACAAATTATGAAAAATTGTCTTTAAAGGGCAATAACTCCTTAAGAGGTCAATTTACAATTTTAGTCATTAAACTTATTTGTAGATCTTACTTTGCTGAACATTTTTGCTGTTTACAGTTTATCTTTATCTAAAATAATATTCAAGATAATAATCGAAAACTGCAAATTTTCCTTAAAATCATCAATTCAGGGGCAATAACCTAAAAATCAGATACCCGATTTGGCTGATAATTTCAGGGCAGGTAGACCTTGACGTAATGAATACTTTACCGACTTGTCTGATTTGCTCTAAATGCTTTAGTTTTTGAGATATGTCAAAATCTGCATTTTACCCTATGTTCATGACAGCCATGTTTTCTGAGGAAACAGAAAATAAAACACAAGCTTTATTCTAGATAACCTAAGAATCATTCAGCTTAAGTTTGGTTTAATTTTGTTCAGTAATTTTAGAGGAAAAGACTTTTTAAAGTTAGAAAACATGATAAACAAATTGTGAAAAATTGTCTTTAAAGGGTAGTAACTCCTTAAGGGGTCAATTGACAATTTTGGTCATATAAAACTTATTTGTAGATCTTACTTTGCTTAACATTTTTGCTGTTTACAGTTTATCTTTATCTATAAATATATTCAAGATAATAACCAAAAACTGCAAAATTTCCTTAAAATTACCAATTTAGTGGCAGCAACCCAACAATGGGTTGTTAGATTCATCTGAAAATTTCAGGGCTTATAGAACTTGACCATTAACATGATTAAGTTTGGTTGGAATTGGTTCAATAGTTTCAGAGGAGAAGATGTTTGAAATAGTTTACACTGGACGGACGCCAAGTGATGGCAAAGGCTCACATTTCCTTTGGAAAGGTGAGCTAAAAATCTCAATTATTTTTCAGATATAGAAATACAGTTGAACAGCCCCAGGTAAGAATAACAAGCTAAAACCTTGTACAACTGGTAGAGGAACCAACAAGAGGTCCCAATACATTGAACCTAGTGATCACAAACAACACATCACGCTTCAGTCGTACCAAAGTAATACCTGGGGTGTCAGACCATGATATTGTCTTCAGTGAAATAGACAGCCTATATCAAGGAAGCAAAAACCAAGAAAAAAACCTTTATATAGGAAAGCAAATTGGGAAACTATCAAACAGGAAATGAATGAAACTCATCAGAAGGTCAAAGAATTAGCTGCAAATGGGAGTCCAGCGGAGGAACTCTGGTTACTGTTCAAATCCAGGCTTAACCAGAGTGTTATTAATCATTTCCTGCATTAAACTGCAAAACAGGAAGATAGCCTCCCTTGGCTCACTCCAAATATACGCAAGTTAATACATTGCCGAGACAGACTGTACTAAAAAAAGAAAAAGTCAGCTGATCCAAAAACCACCTCAAAATTTAAGGAATCCAAGCAAATGGTCCAAAGAGAACTCTGTCGAGCATACTGGAACTATATGAGAACATAGTAACACCTAAAGAGGAAAACAATCAATACAGTAATATGAAACAGTTCTGGACATACATAAAACATAAACAGAGAGCAGTGGAGTGGCACCCCTACAAATGTACGCAGTGAGGGACTACTACACTCACAACCAGTAGACCAAGCAACCATTCTTAACAAAGAGTTCCAATCAGCTTTCTCCACCAAGGATACATACAACCAGCATGAGTTTTCATCCCGATGTCTGATGTCAGGTAAATACCCTTCCGCTGAGGAACTTAACATAACAGAAAATGGAATACTAGTACTAAAATTACTTACAAAAATCAATTCAAATAAAGCAGCAGGACCAGACAACACAAGACCAAGATTACTAAAAGAACTGGTAACGGAAATAGCCCCTATACTTTAATACACTCATCTTTCAAACATCAATTGAAACAGGGGACTTACCATCTGACTAGAGGAATGCCAATGTTAGCCCAGTTTTCAGGAAAGGAGAGAGATATAGAGCAGAGAACTACCGACCAATATCTCTGACTTGTATAAGCTGCAAACTCATAGAGCACATAATCACAAGCCATATCATGAACAATGCAGATCAGCACCAAATTCTCTACCCATAATGGGCATTACAACATGGTTTTCGCTCTAAACGATCTTGCGAAACTCAACTTATTGAATTTGTGAATGACATCACTAACAACATGAGTGCAGGTAAACAGACAGACATACTTATTATGGATTTCTTTAAAGCTATCGACAAGGTCAGTCACAGTCTCCTCGTTCATAAAATAGAACACTATAGAATCAGAGGAAAGGTCAATGGGTGGATTGCTAGCTTCCTGTCACACCGGACACAAGCAGTAGAAATGGATGGAGAGAGCTCATCACATACTGATGTAGAATCTGGGGTACTGCAAGGCTCAGTCCTTGGGCCTTCGCTATTCTTGTTCAACATCAGCAACATGCCTGATGGAATTAAATCCACTATCCATTGACACCGTAGCATACCTTACAATATCAAACGACAAAGATTCAAACGACCTACAAAAAGATCTATATAAGCTAGCTACATGGGAAACCAAATGGAAAATGGCCTTCCACCCAGACAAGTGCAATGTACATTGTACTTTCCATCAGCCGGAAAAACAATACCATTGCAACATCCTACAAGCTACATCATGTACATGGTTTCACTTTAGAACCTGTCAAAATCGCCAAATACATTGGCTACACATTCACGTCTGAACTGAAATGGAATGACCATGTTAACAACGTATGTAACAAGCCAATAGAACAATCGGCTTCCTAAAAAGAAACCTGAATATAGGCTCCACTTCTGTAAGGGAAAATGCTTATAAAACACTTGTAAGACCTATAACAGAATACGCCAGTCCGGTATGGGATCCATACAATAAAACAGAGATTGACAGACTAGAGATGGTCCAGAGACAAGCAGTACGATATGTGATGAACAAACACCATAATCACTCGAGTGCAAGCAAGATGCTAAATCACCTAGAATGGAGATCTCTGGATCAAAGGCGAAAAGATGCAAGACTCATGATGCTTTTCAAAATTGTAAATGAGAAAGTTGCAGTGACAAAGGATGGTAGTCTGATGCCACCTAATGGACTTTCTCATCTGATGCCACCTAAACATGTCATTGTCAAGAAATATGCATGACAGAAGCTTCCAAATTCCAGCTACAGGAAGTGATTACCGGAAATATTCTTTCTTTCCATGAACCATCAAAGATTGGAACACTCTCCCTCCTGGGGTTGTATCAGCACTGTGAGTCGAGGCTATCAAACAAAGCCTCGGTCACAGTCGGTGACAAAGCTGAACTAATATCAAACAATATTGGGGGAGGGGTCTGTATGCCATACCTGTCAACTCACCCAGATCCTGCGGGTGTGACCCGAGATTTTCACAATTCTGAGAGGTCACCTGGGACACCGGACGGGTGACCAAATAACCCGGGAATTGGAAAAATAACCTGTTTTCACCCGATTTTCTAAGCTTTCGTAAGCATGATAAGTGATTTTCCTTTGAAATAACTGGTAAATTCGTAATTCTTCCTGGACAAGATACCTGTATAAACTCAAATCAAGTGACCCATTTCAGTGCATGGCTTCACTTGACAGCTTTGGGGTTGAACACACTGTTAATTAACATCAATTACCTTAGCTTTAGGTCGTAAATAATTTTATTTCAGTTGTTTTAAAAACAACTTGAGTTACTTCCCCTTTTTGTCATCTCACAATATTCTCCTTAAACTTATGTGTTTTTTGTAAAAAGATTAAATCTGAAATGAATTGAATGCAAAAACATATCAGAATAATACTTTTACTTATTTTTCTATCTTAGAAAAATTAAAAAATTAAAATTTTGAAAATTACTTTTTTCATCTATACCTCTTTTACTGGTAACTTTATCTTTTTATATTCGAATATCAACAGCTGGTATATGAACAGCCAGTCAAGGTTGTTAAACACTTCCAGTAGTATATGATAGTCAATTCATTTGAATTTAATCCAGTCCCGTCTCAGTCATTACAACTGAACGGACATGCTGGGTCAGCTCTCCTTTACCCGCTATCTTCGATGAGGGTTTACTGTTAGATGGATCAACGACTTACTACTTTCGATGACAGAAACCAATCCAACGCTGTACAGACTACGTTAGGCTATAATCCGTGTAGGGCTAATTCCCGTGTCAACATTCACTCCAAAACCCATTATGGATGGGGGAGTGGTATGCCGAGTGACGTCCGAGGGCTGTATCCTAGGTGTTAGATGATGGACCACCATTTCACTGTCTCACGACTTTGGTCTTGATAATGCTTCCTGTCATCGTTAATACTACGTCCGAGACTCATCTGCCAGTACTCCATCATCGAGGTTAGCGGGCTGCCAAGCTGACCAATCTGGCCCTGAAAGCAGCCGTTGTGAAGACATAACATCAAAATAGTCAACAAAAGAAAACCAAAACAACTCACAAAACCAGGATGGCGGCCTACCAAAATGGCGTCCTCCACCTGTTCCTGACCGATGGCACAAAATTATTTAAACGCTCACCAAACGCCTTTGGGCACTGAGCCGACCGTGCGAGGGATGTATATCCAGTCAAGGTCGTTAAACACTTCCAGTAGTAGTTTATATGATAGGGCTGTATAGCCAGTCAAGGTCGTTAAAAACTTCCATTTGTTTGTTATGATGATATGATGATAACCGACTGCGAGGGCTGAACAGCCAGTCAAGGTCGTAAAACACTTCCAGTAGTAGTAGTATGATGATATGATATATATATATATATAAAACCTGCACAAATGTATGCAATGAAGATGAATTAAGCCAACATACATGTAACATAAATCTATCAATGGCCTTCTAGTGCAATGAAATAATATGTACAATTTTAAATTACTTAACCATGTGGATATGTTGAAGAAATTATAAGAAAATGTCCCCTAAATACTGAAATTCAGCGCGAAAAAGTTTGTAGGTGTTATGACCTGAGATTTCATTCTTCTATGCAGGTCATCACCTGCATTTTCATTGTCAAAGGTTGACAGGTATGGTATGCGCACTGAAGTCATGGCAAAATATTCAGTTTGTTGGTTATCTGGTATAAGTAGAATTATATTCGTATATAAATTAGTCCAAATGAAAGCCTTTCAAGACGTCATAATTATTTGGACTATAATTAGATTATATATAAATAAGCTTTTGAACTAGTCAGCTAGTAGAGAAGTTGAGGCTTGAGTCAAGTTGAGAGGGCTTTTTCATAGTGATGACACGACTCATGGTCGGTTCGGAAATCGTGGAGATACGACCCGGATCCTTGAAGGCCTTCATGTTAAGAAGAGAATGAATGACATATAATATTCACCACACAATGTATGAAAGCGCAAAGATTTGCTACCAGCGTAGGGGTCGATGGTTGTCCATGCCGGGAATTCTGCCCCTTACGCGTGTTTTAATTCAGGCGATTTTTTATCAAAGCGTCAATGTGATTGTTGTCTATAACTGACGGAACCATACAGTACGCGATAGGGATTATGAAAAACGGATTTTTTTTAAATTGTTTTTTCGTTGCAGTAACCGTTGCAAAACTTACATTGTTTTCATATTTACCAAAATGTCGTTTATATTGTGCTATTTTGATATAAAAAAATATATAAATCATAGGTCACTAAGCCTGATTTCAAACAGGAACATACTTATTGATATACAGTTAGGTCATAGATATAATAGCCATTAATGGCTCAGTATTATTTTATGGTTAGATATACTGTTCCCAGTTTCAAGCTACCCGGACTAAAACAAAATCGGCCTATCACCAACAAAACATGGACTATAACAAAATCGGCCTATCACAAACTCGGCCTACCATTATTTATGACATTTATATGCAGAAATATATTGAACAAACTCGGACCACGATTAGTAGATTGTGTTGTTAACGGTTTTTTCTGACTTTTAAAAAAAATTACTTAATATATAACAATTCTATACGAATTTAGGAGATAATGATATATATTTTTTGAAAAAAATATATATAAGAAATGTATTAAAACAAGGAATTGTATATTTAATTTAACTATACAATTCCTTGATTAAAATAAACTTAGATCCATCATATAAAATATGTGTTATGAGATACAATTTAAGTGATATTTATAAGTTTGAATTTGATATTTTTGAATGAGGATAATTAACTTCTATTTGAAATATTATTGTGATTTTCTTGTTTGTACTTTTATGTTTTTTTTATTGATAAAAGATGTTTTAATGATTGGCGTGTGTGTGTGTTTGTATGCGTTTATTACTTGGTGTTCATAATTGGTATACGTCAAACAAAAAGAAATTTGATTGACAGTGAATAGCTTGTTAACTATTTTATTAATCTCTGTATACAGAGAATCACAATTTGCCAAGGACGTATGAGCCGCGGTATAATTGTATTAATGTATATACCATGCATGTACGGGAATATGTCAGACCCCTTCTGGGATTTGCATATCTGGAAAAGTCAAATATGTTTTTTCCAAGAGTATTTGATACTAACAGTTTACACGTATATCATGTAACAACAAATATGCCAAAATACCACATTATTTATAAAATCTGTATAAACAAAGTAGGTCAAGTAACAAACAAAGGAACAATAAGCGCACAGCACACACATACAAACATATAAATTTTTTTCTCCATATAGTAAAAACAAGATAAATAAGAATATTGCATACACATAAAAGTTAAGATATATATCTTTAAAGTTGGGATAAAAAAACTCACAATATACTATAATATGAATATAAAACACAGGTTAATTCCTAATTAATACTAAATTAAAGAAAAAAAAATATATTCAATAGTAAGGTAATCTGGCGCAATACCCGCAAGGGTAGTCGCCATTAAACTTTATTTAGTAGTAGTAGTACAATATCATTCTCAACATGGGTACCGACGGTGTCTTCTGGCTATTCCTACATTTTATATTTTACTATTCTGGCTATTCCTACATGGGATATTGTGGGAAGACCAATAAATGTTATTGCAAAATATGTTGTTTTAGTCATTAGTGTCTAATTAGATCAGATGTAAATTTACCAGTGGAAAGTAAATAAACTTGAATAATTATTTATATGAAATTTATGTAAAAAAAAATTTTGTTTGGTTTGAAAACATGTATCAAGTGTTATAATTATGGAATTTCTTGAAAATAAAATTATTTAAAAGAAAAGGTAGTAAAAGTGCTTGTATTCAGTACCCAAGAGAACCTCATACATCTAGCAGCTGCAGACACCATCTACTGTGATGGAACATTCTATGTTTGTCCAACACTGTTCTACCAGCTAAACCGACCACTGCGTCGAGTGTTCCCGAAAAGTGACAACAAAGCAACATGCCTTACAGTGTGACTCGTGTAGGTTATATGGCAACACAGAGTTTGTAATACTGGTAAGTGCTTCTATTGTATTCTTGTTCATGATGATATTGATAAACATTTTAAAAATTTCTTTTTTGGAAAAGTATTGTGATTAAAAAGGTGTCAACAATACACGTGGCAGTATGATGTCATATTTCCAGTACAATCAAATAAGTTATGATAAATTATTTTGAAAGGGACATAAAAATAATATAACAGAAAAGACAAATAAGTGGTAGATTCTCATTATTAAATGAATTTATTCTTACTTTTTTTTATATATATATATATCTTGTTAAATAATTTATATGATTTCTCGCTTCTTAAATTTTCAAAATAAATTATTTAATTATTGTAAATCATAATTAATTTAAAATTAAGTACCGATAATTAATTTCAGTAAAGAAAATAACATCTAACATCATACTTATATTCTTCTAGTAGTCCGAGCTTGTTATAGTCCGATTTTGTAAGGCCGATTATGGTATAGGCCGCGTTTGTTATAGTCCGAGTTTGTTATGGGCCGAGATATCAGGGAGTCATTTTTATTCAAATAGAAGAAACCTAGTTCACAAAAGTTTTATTCTTTTTAGAAGATATTCTTGTAAAATGCTTATAAAACAAAAGATACCAGTGACCTTTCGTGTGTCTTATGGTATGAACAACTTCAAAATAGATATGCTAAAAAATGTAAACGGCGAAAGCTTACACTTTGATCTATCTCAGAAACTGACCATACATGTATAACGTTAAATCATTCAGTTTTAACAGACATTTTTTTCACCAATATATATTCTTATAATTCATTAAATTTATAGATATACTGACTTTTCATGTGTCTTCTTTGCGGATTGGTATATGTCGGTGAAACGAAAAGTAGGCTTAATAAAACGTATGTGTGGTCATAGATAAGAAATCAACAACAATGCAAGCGATATTGCTTACCAGCATTTTATTCATCCTGATCATTCAATCGTTTCTATGCAACTTCGCATCATTGAAAATAATTTCAATGGGACTAACAACCCTCATCTTGCAACACATCTCCGTAGACAACAGGAAGACTATTGAATTCAAGAATTGGGAACTTCGACACCATATGGTTGCAATGACAAAATTGATGGTAAAAGTATTTTATCTAGTCCTTCCTGTAGCTCGGTGAATGCTATGCACATTTTCAACTCTACTCTTCGACGTAAATGCAGTCATGGTAATCGTCATTATACACCACTTACTTTCCATGATGTTTCTATTATATAATGATCTGCTGCCATTTATACAACAGCAGTTAGCGCACGAACCTTTATTTTCATTACCCCTTTCAATACTTCATTCTCGGTACAACTTATGTTTGGTAAAAACTGTTACCCCCCCCCCTTTTAAACCAATAAAACTGCAGCTCTCATCTCGGATATTGCCAGGCACTGACTTTTCAAACCAGTTAGCATTAAGTGCCAATATGCCTAAGAATCAGGCAGTGGTGAAAACATGACAAACAAAAACCCACTCAGCTTTACATTAATTTAAGTTCAGAATGTATAATGATGCATGAATATAACATTCGTTTCCTTCCCCTGTTCTGGTAATTCAAGATATAATTTGGTTGAAATGCACTACAAATTAATAATTAAGGGGAGATAACTCCGTAATTTGCTATCATTCTAACCAAAATTTATCTAGATATTTCTCGAATTACCAGACATGCAGAAACAAAAGACCTACCATTTCTAACTCAGGGTGAGGGTACCTTCAAAATAGGGTGGTTAGGTCGGTGGGTTTTTTTCATCCATGTTTTGAATATTTTCAAAATTGCCTGATTCTTACAAAGACTGGCACTTTAAAATATTGGAAAGGATGAAATGAAGAGAAGATCCTTTCTAAAATTCGTCTGCCAACAAAGGGTTTGATGTTATCAACTTTGGCAATATCCTTCATCATAAATCAGTTCACACGAAAATAACTCCCTATGTTAAAGATCAGTCTGTACTTATCATTTCTTATACCTATACCAAACCAATTGCATCTAAAATTTTCAATTACAAACACGTGTTGCAGGATCTCAATATTGACGACTTCAAGTCTAGAAACTGCCATTATCAAGAAGCTTCATTTCTTGACTGACAACATATTAGTTACATTTGGAAGACGTGTTTTTCAACAAACAATCGGTATTCCCATGGAAACAAACTGTACTCCTTTTCCTGTCGACTTGTTCCTATATTCATATGAAGCTGACATTATACAGGAGTTTCTTAGAAAGAAAGAAAAGAAGAGAGCATTATCCTCTAACTTCACCTTCCACTATATCGATGCTGTTCTCTCACTAAATAATTCGAAGTTTGTTGACTATGTTGAACGCATCTATCCCATCGAACGTGAGATAAAGGATACATTAAGAAATTGAAAATGAGGATCGGTTGAAAACAAAACTTTACGACAAAAAGCGTTGATTTTAGCTTCTTAATTGTGAACTTTCAATTTCTATGTAGCAGCATTCCAGCAGCGCCTGCATACGGTGTACATATATCTTCTAGTTGAGACGATATTCCAGGGCTTGTATTTCATTGTTAGAGGATTTCTACTCACACAGAAGGTATTAAACCAAGAATTTTAAGAGGTGAAGTTGAAATCATCACTTCGTAAATTTTTCGGATGCTATCAAGAGTTGGTTGACCGTTATGGAACTAAGTAACATTCTGTGTTCATAGATGCCGACAGATATGTTCCAATTGTTGTAACCACAATCCCGTCCTTTTTCCCCGAATGTGGCCTACCGAACCAGATTTATCACGTGGTTTGTACTTACGTGAACAACACGACGGGTGACTCATGTGGAGCATGATCTGCTTACCCTACCAGAACACCGAAGATCACCCCTAGTTTTGTTTAAAGTAATCCGTGTTACTCTTGCTTTAATCAAACTGTTGTTTTTTGTGTTTTTGAATTTTTCAATGTTTGTGCTGTTTTTACCAGCATAACAGTTTCGTCTATCCTCTGTCATGAAAACATGTTTTAATTTCAAAATTTGTCATTCGGTCAAGTTTCAAGATTAGAAAATTTTACACGACCGATGGACTAGAATTTGGTGATGTCTTAGGGTAAGTTAAGAGTCAATCACCATTTCGCCATTGCGTGATGTCTAATCACTTGATATAACTTAACGTATTTTATAGGATTTACATGACATGACGGGTGTCACATGTGGAGCAGGATCTGCTTACCCTTCTGAAGCACCTGATATCATCCCCGTTTGTTTGGTGGGGTTCGAGTTGCTCAGTCTTTAATTTTCTATGTTGTGTTTTGTGTACTGTTCTTTGTCATTTGAATTTTCCTTTTTTTGTCATGGCGTTGTCAGTTTATTTTTTTACTTATGAGTTGAATTTCACTTTGGTATCTTTCGCCACTCTTTAACTTGAATTAAAAGAATCACGTACAGTCCCATATGTTTAATTTGAAGTTCTATCAATAATATGGCTTATTTCTAAACAGATGACTAAGGAATAAATGTTTGAAGACAGCCCAAAATATATATAAATCTGCAAATTTGCGGAAGCCGGGATTCGAAATCATGCTACTGGGATATCGAGACATCACCGCCTGCACTGTGTCCAGCGCCTTTGACTAGCCATGTATTACCTTCACTGGTGATCCAATGCATAGATCTGTCGTAGAGTTGTCACTTGTTTAGACGTATACTTATATATATATAAGAAGGACATAATCGATTAAAACCAAAATACCTTTTCGGAAGTCAATTAGCTATAGGTATTTTCTTTCTGATACATGTAAATAAACTCATCATAGATACCAGGATTAAATTTTGTATTAACGCCAGACGCGCGTTTCGTCTACAAAAGACTCATCAGTGACGCTCGAATCCAAAAATGTTAGTAACTTAGTTCATTTTCAAGTTGATTAATTGATGTCGACATCCTCAGCTGCAAACTTTTACAAAAACACGTGTTATTGTGTATCAAAATGCCTTTAAACAGCAACATGCAGTGCTGTATATATCGTTTTGATTTTATCATTTTTTTTAAATTGTTGAAAAATGTTTTTATTATATGTATTGACCATTTGCAAATATTATTTATGCTTTGCATGATGTTCTGTTTTATGTGTTTTATGTATTGTGCTTGACTTATATGTATGTCGGATAAAAGCTCTACAGAGCTTATGTTGTATTGTTATATGTATAACCGACTTTAAATAAATCTTTTATGCTTTATGCTTATTATTTGATATTCAATATTCAACTTCCAGCAGAATTCTTCTGTTTAATCGACACACTATTTAACAATTAGAGAGATAATCAGAGCAGAAGAGAATTATGACACGATTCAATATATTAAGATTGTGTCATTCAATCTATCGACACAATTCTTTTTTATTCAAAGAAAAACAAGTTTTTTGGTGAAATAAAATAGAAGATCGTTACAGGTGAAAATACCCAAAGTTGGGTTGAATTTAATGTAACTTACGTCATACACGAATACCTTTTACGTTTTATACATGTAATGTTCATGATTATAAAAGGAACGGTAAATTTCAATGGAGGTCAAGTATATTGTAATGATCTTTTGTGTATTTCATGGTTTAAAAACCTTCATAATAGATATGTTAAAAGGTAAATTGCAACCAATCTATTAGCTATCTATTTTTATATGATTCTAACAAATTGCTTTTGGATTCTTGTTAATCGTAATAAGTGAACTTTTTCATCATGAGATTTTGTGGACTAGCAGTTATTTTTTTAACATTTTTCAGTAATATACAATATAGCATCACTGCCTCACATTCGTTCGTAACCTCACTGTACGACCGACTGACTACGTACAATTACAGTTATATCAGACCAGAATCAGATCTTAATACAGCAACTACAGTTGGGTTCAAGTTCTTTCTTGTGAATCTTCAAGATCTGGACGACAACAACAGCAAATTTTCTGTAACCGGGTTTTTTGAAATAAGTTGGAAGGACAATAACTTAACATGGGATCCATCATCTTATGACAACACAGATTCAATCCGTATTCCTTCGGGATACATGTGGAAACCTCATCTGCTTGTTGGAAACCCTTATAAAGATGCTATTGTTATTTCCTTAGAGCAATCCACAATCCGTGTTTACGCTGACGGTTCAGCGTACTGGTATCCTGCTGATAGTTACCAGATGTCTTGTGATGCTGATGTGTCTTATTTTCCGTTTGATTCTCAGACATGTGAGATCTGGCTTCTACCATGGCAGCACGATGCAAGTGAAATAAATGTTACATTGACACAAACCACAGTGAATTTGTCTTCCTACAACCAAAATCCAACGTGGGATTACGTTTCGTCAAATGTGTATACACAAAGTAGTACAAACGGTGTCCATTTTTCAATGAAATTCAAAAGAAGACCTACATTTTTTATGATTAATATTATATTTCCGATTATACTTCTTGGAGTGTTGAATGTGTTTGTGTTCGTGTTACCAGCTGATTCTGGAGAACGTGTCGGATTCAGTATAACACTATTGCTTTCAATTGCCGTTTTTATGACAATCATAGCAGATTCGCTGCCTAACACGTCTTCTCCAAGACTATCGTCAGTGGTCATTAAACTAAGTGTTGACCTAATTATCAGTGCGTTAATGATGGTATGCACTATCTTGGGACTTATTCTTCATCATCGAACTGACAATGTCCCTGCAACAGGATTCTGGAAGTGTTTCATGAGGTTTCGGAAATGTTTCCTGAATTGTAGAAAGTCTAAAACGAATGCAGTACATGCCGAAAAAAACAAGATCCCCATTGGTATAGTACTTTCAGATCTTGCAAATAAAACTGACGAGAATGCATATGGTAAAGATAAAAAACAAGATGGCGTCACATGGAAAGACATCAGAGGGTTCTTAGATAAAAGTTTTATTGTCTTCTTCAGCAGTATTTTGATTATAGCGAATCTTGGATTCTTTATGGATATCGTTGCTGGTATAAATTAGCTAATACGAAATATTCATATAAACATTGAAGACCCATTGGTGGCCTTCGGCTGTTGTCTGCTCTATGGTCGGGTTGTTGTCTCTTTGACACATTCCCCATTTCCATTCTCATTTTTATGAAAAAATTTAAGTTAATAAAACATGATGTTTTTTACATTTGTATCCTATATATTATGAATATTATGAATTGTTTTACCTTTGTTATTTCGGGGCCTTTTATAGCTTGCTATGCGATGATCTGCAGTCGCTACCTCGTGTGTACGTCATTTGGTCTATGATGGAGAGGTGTATTATTGGTAATTATACCACATCTTCATATTTCATGTTTTTTTTTATCGAGGTGTTATTTTCAAATTGATCAATTCTCATGAGACAATTTCAAAAGAGAAATTATTTAGAATTCTTGAAATGTTAACTATACGTCTTATCTATTTAAAGGTGTTCTTCATGCATATGTTATGTGAACAATAAATAATATATACAAAGATAAAACAGAAATCTTTAAAAATAACGACCGCGTATGGAAAGTAAAGATGGTTTGAAAAAAAACGATAATAGTAAAAAAACATTCCGCACAGAACAACATACTTTTTTTACCTTTATTTCTTAATATAAAAGTATACCAGTAAAACGCAATCAGAATCAAGTGCCTGTGCCTTGAACAATAAACAAAACCCTCAACGTTTAGTCTGCGACAAGAGGCCCTGATATGGCAAAATGTGAAAAAAACATACGGCCTGATTTATGACAAAACAATAAACGAAAAACAAATATGACAGACAGCAAACAACGACAAGGACTGTAGTACAGGCTCCTGACTTGAGAAGGCACATAAAGAATGTAGCGGGGTTAAACATGTTTGTGAGCGTTCAACCCTCCCCTAACCTGGAACAGTGGTGCTACAACACTGCATAAGAATGAATTGAAAAAAAAAAAACAATTGGAAATGGATTGACCTGTCAGAACGACACATATAAAACACACAAAACCAATTCTTAATGTGCATGTCTTAGTACCGATCCGAAAGCTTATTTAAAGCCAACTATAACTAATGAATAAATTGTGTTCTCATAGACTAAACCAGTTTAGCGTGCAAACAAACCTCCCATTTTCCCTATGTACCATTAATTCGTTATCAGCATATATAATTTCAAAAAAAGTTACAAACTTGTCAAACTGGTTTTCAATGGTTTTTCAGTTTTCCTTTTGTTATATGTCTTATTGTTTGATTGGTTAGAAATAATTCATTGATTGATGTTTAACGCCACCTTCAGCACTATTTTGTTTTTTCGTGGCGGTCAGTTTTTATTGGTGGAGGAATTCGAGAGAACCACCGACCTTTGGTAGGAAAACTGAGAATCCTTGTCAATTAATATTGGAGCCGAACGCGCCTGCCAAGTCCGGGATTCGTACTGACAACCTCAGTGTTGAAAGGCTAGTGATACAATAGTTCCACAACTTAGACCAATTGACCACCGAGGCCCCGGCTAGCAATACCTGTTGTTATTTTTTCAAAAGGCAGTAACATTTATTTCATGGTCTACTAAACAAACAGCAAACTTATTCTTTGTTCTTTGTACACACTCAAGTAAAGGGGCGGTTAAAAAAAATACCTCCCGCTTATCCTGACCAATGCGAAAACTTATAAGAGAATACCAAGGAGTAATCAAAACAACCAAACGACAGAATTGGTTCAGAATACAATTTTTTTATTAATGTATAAGATCCGGCAAATACTGATTCGGCACTGTTAGAAGCAATGGCTTTTTCAAGTAGGTACCGTAAATAATAATAAAGAACACCTTGTTTAAAGTAACATGCAATATGATATTTGCAGAATATAAGTAACAAGACCTGGTGATTATAAAATCGTTTTGTCGATTGCTGTTTGTCTTTTCGTCTTTTCTGTTGTCCTGTTTCTGTTTTTGATTATTACATAGTTTTTATTACCACTTGGCATCCTCATCGCATCAGACACGATAAGCAGGAGATGAGGTTTTACAGTTCCTATACTTGAGTGTATGCAAAGCACAGCAGCAATCAACAAAACCATTTTAGTCTTTAACGATATTATTTATGTTACTTTATACAAGGTCTTCTCTGTGTTATTTTTATTTACGGTATCCACTTACAAAAAGCCATTGCTTATAACAGTTGTATCAATATTTGCCCGATATAATACATCATTAAAAAATCTATACTGAATCAATTATCAAGCTCAACTTAAATATAAAACATTGCACTGAAACGTTTAAAAAACTCAATGATTTCTGTGATAATTTGGGGTAAACCCCAAGATATACTCGCCTAAGTTTTTGTAATTTATTGTATTTTTCTACCAGCTGAAGTTAATGCTTCGATCGCCTTTGTCATGATTTATAACAACATGAACATTTTCTACTGATGAATTAAGAAATTATTTAGAAATATACTGGTAGGTTTTAACTCCTCGCAACAAAAGTGGCCTCAGATGGATTTTTTTGGGAAGGGGACAATTATTTAAAGTTCTTTTTTCATTAAGCTCTGCAAGTATTTTTTCGTTCTTTGTCTTTATCATTTTTGTGTTTTGGGCGGTCCTCCAATGACGATTAATTAGAAAAGTACAGAGGTACTAAATTTATCGTGTTACTTTAATTCCCTTAAGTTTTTGACACATTTTGTGTCCTTCGGGTGTGTTTTAATGGTCATCCGATCACGTTTAAAAGCTTGAGTGATAAGGATAAACCGATTTCAATATAATGTGATAATAGTGTAAGTCTTGATACTAGTTTTTAGCTCTGTACATATACGCATAGACAATTAACAATACAGAGTGTAATGAAAACTCTAACAAGCCTGTTTATAAAAATATCAAACATTTAATAAATGCCAATTTTTATTTTTGTTTGGATTTTAAATTTTGATATTTGAGTGCATTTAATCGACAAAAAAATTATACAAGATTGTCTTTGAGAGTAGTCAATATTATTACGGTTCAAAACAGTTGAATACGAAATAGAATACGTATACGTATGTAACGTATCACAAAGAACTCTAATCACGTGGTATATTTAAAATTTTTACTTTAAAAAAATTAAATGTTCAGTGTAAATAACTATTTTCATATCTATATTCCACGATTAAAAATGAAGTGCTACACGCTGTTTTTTTCACTGGTACTTGTTGGAAGGATAAATCCTGGATATACGGCGTCATTTACAGCCGTGGCTTCACTTTACGACGATCTTATTAGCAGAAGTTACAGATATATCCGTCCAGAAACAGACCTAAATACGGCAACATCTGTTGGATTCAAATTCTTTCTCACAAACCTACAAGATTTAGATGAAAATACAGGACTATTTTCTGTCGCCGGATTTTTTGAAGTCAAATGGAGAGATAATAATCTTATTTGGGACCCGAATTCGTATGAGAGCCAGTCATATATGCGTATTCCTACAAAACACATATGGATCCCACATCTTATTTTAGGAAATCCTTACACAGAAGGAGTTGTTATTTCCTTGGAAGATTCAACGGTAGCTCTTTATGAAAATGGCGATGCTAAATGGAGCCCAGCAGACAGTTTTCAGATGGCATGTGACGCGGACGTCTCTTATTATCCTTTTGATTCGCAGACATGTCAAATGATGGTCGTTCCGTGGCAATACGACGCAAATGAAATCGTCATACTTATACAATCTTACACAGTTGACACAACATACTACAGTGAAAACCCACAATGGGATTATGTTTCCTCTACATTATATAATGGAAGCAGTGTCAATGCATTGTATATTTCGATGACTTTCAAAAGAAAACCAACTTTTTTCATGATAAATGTAATATTTCCAATCATTCTACTTGGAGTGTTGAACATTTTCGTGTTTGCTCTACCGGCCGATTCTGGAGAACGTGTTGGTTTTAGTATAACCCTTTTATTGTCTATCGCCGTTTTTATGACGATCGTTGCTGATTCATTACCATCGACATCATCACCACGATTATCGTCAGTTGGAATAAAACTCGTCGTCGATTTGACCATAAGTTCTCTGATTGTGGTTTGCACCATTTTAGGTCTCGTCATTCACCACAGAGATGACTCGCAGCCAGTCACACAGAGTTGGCGACGCCTTATTAAGGTATCAAAGACATGTAGGCCATGTAAAAAACGTCAAAACAATGGAATTCAAGTCGGAGATGCAGAAACACACAGTGTGAAGGACACAGAAAAACTCGGTATTCCTAATGATGATAAGGATGACGCTTCTTGGAAAGACGTCAGTAGATTTTTGGATAAATGTTTTATTGTAATATTCAGTGTAGTTTTATTCCTTGCCAACCTCAGTTTCTTTATGGACATCGTTGCTGGAGTAAACTGATCATTTCTACAGTACAATTGCGATCAGAAACTAATATGAATTATACACTGAAGCGAACGTTATAAATAAATGCTGAAATGACAAAAAAAAAGATGTTTTAAAAGGAGAAGGAAATGGATAGTTTGGTCTCATTCAAGCCTCAATATTTGTCAGAGATTTGCTATTGTGTAACACCAATAAAAAATCGATCAATGGAAAAAGAAAATATATAATTTAATTCTTATGTAACTTTGATTTAATTCAAACTAATTTTCAATATCAATACGAACAATACCATAGAAAGGTAAATAGAAATGCAGTCACAAAGTTAATGCTGAAATGTGAATTATTTATTGATGTATAAATATAGAGATAATGATCATACTGACAACCGCAAATTGTGCATGTTGTGATAAAAGTCTCTCAGCGTTAATTAATTTCTTTTTTGTGTTTTTTTTATATGGGGAATGCAAACATATCAAACATTTTAAACGCAATAAACCAATACTTTGGGAAAATGAACACATTGTGACTTTTTAAAGGTTACATTATTCTTTTATCATAAAGTTTTATATGTATGCTTAATGAAGACGTAAATAATGATGCCTCGTGTAGAAAGAGTGTCACGCTCTCTGCACGTGAAGAACCCTTGAAACAACTTTTAGAGGGCCCGTAGGTGGCCTGTTGCAAGGCTAAACTGACTATATCCATTATACCCTCATTTTCCACATCTTCGCTAGCCAAGGGTTACGATCCACTTCCCTCCTCTCCACCCTTGGCGGATTCAGATAGAATTTCGGAGACACAAGGTAATGATTTTCATTGGTTGCAGTCGAAACTCGCTGCATCCAATCAAAAAGCGCCTATAACATGATCACGTGTAAAAGTAGAAAGTGTATGTAAACAATTGCCACGTGCTTATTGTGCAACAAGTCTTTACATCCCTAAACATACGACTATATTTAGTGACAATTTGAATGTTTTTAATCAACTGATAGAAGTTCCTGTGTATGTTTCTTGCACAAATGCATGAATGTCTACGTATATTTTCGTTTCCTGCTTTACCAAGTGTGTAGAATCTAGACGCTACCGTGTTTTTACCTCCAAATTGAAGAGTGCAAGTGCTACCATTGGTCAAGAATAATGTATTCGGAATGGGTGTGACTTGAATCTACCGATAGATGGCGCAACATTGTTATCACAAATGTTGGCTTAATCTGCCAAGGGTGGAGAGGAGGGAAGTAGATCGTTACCCTTGGCTAGCGAAGATGCATTTTCCAGTGCCAGTCCAAATATCCCCGACCTTCATCCCGGACGGCGTCGATTACAGCACCTACCTATTGTATTTATTGTTAATTTGTTCTCGTCCTAAACATGCATGGAATATTTGCCACTAGACGTTAAGCAACCAACAATCAATTAATCAATATATATTTATATATGCTTTATTCACACAAGGATGTTGATTTAACTATCGTGAAATGTGAACTAATGAAATACCACTAGAATTCATTTTATCCTTATATTGGCTTTCATCTTGAAAAACTTATATAATAAGAGAGAATTAAAGTAGGTAGAAAGAAACTGTACACAGCAGAACTGATCAGCAAATTGAGATTCATAAATAAGTCATATGGTCGAAATCGTGATTCGAGTCCTTATATGAGTTATTGCCCTTAAATGATGATTTTTTTTTACCCAATGAGGGTTTTTACCCGATTTATTGAAACCTTTAATAGATGGTTGACATATTGAACAGAAAGACAGGATCTACTAAAAAGACAGTATATAACTGAAATCGTCAAACAACTTTCAATACTGATAAATTAAATTTTTTATCTCTTTTTTGCCTTCAATGATATCTGTAAAAATATGATGAAAAGAAAAAAAAAATGTCTACCAAAAATAACCTGGAAGACAAGATTTTGGCCCATGCTGCATTGCATCAATTTTATGCAACGATGCAAGGTGATACAGACTCCTGGGACCAACTTGTATTTCTTCTTTAGTTAGATACACACACTGAGACAAAAAGAACCCTCCTCTTCTACATAACTTTCAATCGATAATAAGATTGTTTGAGAAATCGAGTCAAATGGGAATAACGCATCTTTTCTAAAAATATCGCATCTATGTCAATTAATGATTGAACATGTTTGATATGAAACGATTAGTACGAGTTCTTGTTCAAGCGTGAGGGTCTGGATGGATGTCCTTCATCTTGTTTATTCTTGAAATTCTTTATATTTCAGCACTCCATTATTCTCTATTCTTTAACTTTTTGCGTGAACACCCTGAGTTTGGTAGCATCTGTGGGCCAAGATTCTCGGAACGTCTCGAAAATTTTCGATCATTTATACAGGAAGTTATCTATGTCTTTGATACGGTCCCTCTATGGATATGCGATTTCGCGGGCATCTCCTCTAGTAATGATAACGCAAAGTATATAATTCATGTTTTGAGCCGGTCCCTGTACGCGTTGTGTGTGTAGTATGTAACTAATACAACATGCTATTGTGCATTGTGCATTGGGACAATAAGCCTTGGAGTAGTATATAATTTGTTAGGTTCTCATTTCTCAATGTTTACCACGTGATATTTAGTATTTCAATCATAAACATATCGCTGGCCTGTAACAAAACGCTATTTCTGATATCAATATTTTTCTGAGGTCGGAAACACAGTGATCAGAAAGCAAAAAGATAAACTAAGTAAACAAAAAGTTATTTCTGTCAAAAATATTCAATTTCATTAATAGATACTAATGGACCAAGAGAATATTCATTAAAATTATTAAGTCTAAACTGAGATTATCATTATTTAAGAATTGAATGCTTCTTTTCGTAAATTTATTGGGGGGTAAAAGCGTTGACCTAAGTACATTTTGTATGAAGCGCGGAAGCGCTTCATTCTAAAAATGTGCCCACGGTCAACGCTTTTACAACCCTATAAAGTTACTAAAAGAAGCATTCAATACTTATAATTACATTTGTTTGCTAGGATCATGAAAACACGATTTCTATCAAGTTTTTCTTTTATTTACCTTTGCACTTCATTGCGGAAGCTCGTGTCATCATGAATGTTACATTTCATTTGGAAATGAAGGTTAATTTCAGAATGACTCGAGATTTTTGTTAGCCAATCAAAAAAAAGTATTATAATAAAACATACATGTAAAATTTGAGGTGTTTTATGAGACCAAAATAATTGTAAGTGTATAAGAGTTCCAAAATGAAACGTATGTGTTACTCTCAAGGACAAAATACGAAAATTTCTCACTAAGTTGCATGCCACAGAGTTACAATTCACATGGAAATTGGACTTTCAATTTCTCTATACCAAATCTACCACAAGTACAGGCAGTTTCAATAATGAGTATAAGAATAATTGAAGGAAAACTAAATATGAAGACATGAAAGATAAAATAAATGCATCCATTTTATGAAACAAACTGAAAATATGGGAATAGTCTGCAGAAAGACATGTCAACTTACCAGGACACATCATTCTGATTCCGAGCCTAACAGTCTTAGTTCTTATTCCTGAATGCCGCGTGCTAAGCATTGAAGCAGCTAGTACTTATCTTAAAGTCTCTATAGTTTGTCCCGACCGGGAATCGAACTCATAACTTCCTGCACTCGACGATGTAAAAATGCTGACGTGTGATTATATGATAATTGTACACAGTATATATATATGCATAGAACATTTTTTTACCTATAAACCTACTTGGAAGGTCTCTATAGACCTACTTGAAAGGTCTCCATAGACCTACTTGGAAAGTCTGCTTCGAATGAATCCGTGTTATACGCCATTTTGTAGATAATTTTATGTTACTTTTTGAAGCTTAACGACATTTGGATATCACAAGTTTCAGTTGGATAGACAACAGCGGAATCGAAATATAACAGTAGTTCGCGACTGAGTGTCATTTCTCAAAAATGCTAGTTGTATACCTTGTTATGATGATGTATAAAGGTGATAGTATAATGGCAATTTACGAAATCAGATATACAGGTATTTCTATCTTTTAGTAATTGAAAACGTCTTCATTTTGGTCAGTCATAACATTTATTGTAATTTTATATGATAATTCAAGTGTATACGTCGACATTAGTTATGTATAGAAAGATTTAATTTTTTGGGGTCAGGTTTCTTATTATATTGTTACATTAAAAGGACTGTCTGATGGCCGTTGTCAAAATATTTCTCTGTATATTAGCAACATCTCACGATTTCTTGCCTTTTGTGGTTAAAACATCGAAAAGCAATTAAATCCGCACGTTGTGAACTTCAGTAATGAACAAACAAAATATCTTCATATTCTGTTCAAAATATGCTTTAGTTTGCAACAAATTTAAAATAGAATACAACAAATTTATTTGGAAAGTAAAATTAATGGGAACAAACTTGTAAAAATGAACAATATGGGTATAACTTTTGAAAATTAATTTCACAGTTTTCTATTCTTTTGATTTACTCCACTTGTAATACGTGTCTCGAAAATAATCCCAAAATACCAAGCACAAAACAGTATGTGGCCATATTCGTATCAATGCTGGTTCCCAGCCTTTGTAAAGTCCAGCTATTCCTTCACTTCTGTAGGTTTTTCTAAAACAGTCAGAAATGCCTTTATAATACATTCCTTTTCCAGATTCAGTTGTTCTTTGGTTGTACAGTCTAATGCAAACAACATCAAATGGAGTCATGAAAAATGCCAAACTTATTCCGCCAACCATACTTGCTAATATTGAAATCATTATACTGTCCTGAGCAAATATCTGAAAAGAGAAGAGTTCGATAAATTGGTGTTTGACGTCACTTTCAATACTATAGTTTTTTTTGGTGGCGTTCAGATTCTTTTGGTGGAGGAAGCCGGAGTGCCCATTGAGAGTCACCGATCTTCGGTAGAAAAACTTAAAATCCTAGTCAATTAAGATTAGAGTCGAGCGCACCTGTCATGTGCGGGATTCGAACTCACAACCTCAGTTTTGACAGACTACAGACTAGTGATAAAGCGAATTCTAGATTCGAATTGTAGCAAATTGTTAATTTAAGGTGACTTTAACCTCTTGGATGGAGGTTTTATTTGGCAGAAAATTAAAACAAATATATATCATTTTTTACATGAACTTAGTGCCTAAGTAACTAGCTTTCTTGTAATGTCTTCATAATATTCATCCTTATCTTTTCATAGACCACTAAACTGACACACCTGAGCTTTCAGAAGTATTAAAAATAATTATATTTTTTGAATTTTATTATTTTATGCCCATGTAATTTTAAGAATATAGCTCTAATAATTCAAAACTAATAAGCTTATACAGTCGCATATATACACATACTCTGCATAAGATTTGTTTCATGGAAAATGTCCAAGCCAATTATTTATAAATAAATATTCCACTAATATTTCTTGCCTCTTTAGAAATCAAATATTTCTTTGTTGAAGTGAAAGCTCCGAGTTGTGCCGCTGAGCCGATAAATCCTCTCAATGTTCCAGCACTTGCTCCTCTCCAGAGCCCCTTTACGCCATCTTGTCCAACAATTTCTTTGACTGCCTGATACATTGTTTTATGAGTATGCTGATACCCTACTGCAATCTTTGAATCTGTTTTACATTGGATATGAGTTTTGATCTGTGAATGGAGAAACCATTGAGGTAAAAATAATACTACGACACATAGGCGATAAATGCGAGAAAATATACCTTTTAACCCAGATTCCACGGTTCAACATACACAAAATCGCGCGAACGGGCCAAGTTTTTTATGAAAATGTATTGTTTAGCTTGTTTTCAATAACAGCGACTGACGCTCTCGATATTTTCGACTGCCATACCAGAAAAAAGATGACTTGTATAACAAAGTGAAACAGCAGTGAATTAAAAAAAATGTTCACATCCATAGAAAGCTAACACAAATGAATCCATCACTATGTTTCCCCAAATTTCAACGTCCGTTGCCTCTTCAAATAGACTCAAAAAAAATTATTCAAGGATTAAGTTAAAAAAAATCTTAATCTGTATCAACACAAACCCGTATCCGTTTGCTTTAATAATTATTTAATCAAAATTCAACATGTGGAAGCATGATTCTGATGACTTTTTATATGAGTTCCCAATGATGCTCAGGCACATTAAACTACAAGCAAATGCTTTATTTTTACTTAGTATTAAAGGGCTTCACAAATGTTGCATCGTATTAAGAGATTTATAGAGACCTCAAAAGCGAGAATCATTAATTATGTTGTATGAATTGCCGAAAGATCGAGACGGCCAAAGAAAGGACACTTCTTTTGCCCCTAGAAAGTCTGTAAGCTGTACTCGAATTATATAAATTACATCAGATAAGAACTGCAAAATGTGGAAAGATTGTATACAAAGATGTCAGTTTGACATGCGTTTAGAGTTGTCCCGAATCTGGACATGATATGAAAGTAACGAAATATGAAGATAACAAACAGTAGGTATAAGAAAAAAGCAAGGTGATAATAAAACTTTCAGGAGAGATAAATTCGAATAAGAGTTTCCAAAGAAACTAAACCAGAAAGAGAAAACAGAAATCGATTAAAGATTCTGAAAACTGAGGTAGACGTCCCTACAGGTTCAGAATAATAAGAAACATCTCTTAAATGTTTAGAATAATCTAGAAATTTGTGCAACTTTTCCTGATTTACACCAAACGTCCATCAATTGACAGAACAAAAGGCAATGTCATGCATTAAACTCATTATCCATGGGGTTCTCTTCAGATATTTCTTAATGATATTCCAAGGAATGAAATGTTGCATCTTGTGAGGATGGGAGCGGATGATAATTTTCTGCCTTCTGTTGGCGTTACATATACAAACGCATCAAAGATTCTAGGCTAATAATTTGGTTTGTACTTACAGAAGTGCCACATGTGGAGCAGGATCTGTTTACTCTTCCGGAGCACCTGAGATCAGCTCAGTGTCTGGTGGGGTCCGTGTTGCTCAGTCTTTAGTTTTCTATGTTGGGTTTTGTGTACTTTTTCCTTTTTAGTCATGGTGTTGTCAGTTTATTTTTTACTTTTGAGTTTGAATGTCCCTTTGGTATCTTTCGCCAGGAGCGCGTTTCGTCAACATAAGACTCATCAGTGACGCTCGAATCGAACCAGCTGGAAAGCCAAATCAAGTACGAAGTTGATGAACTTTGAAACTGAATTTTCCGAAACTTTGTGTCAAATGCGGCTAATGCAATCTATGCCTGGTGGTTTGTAAACTTTCTTGTTTGGAAGAATTTTACGTTTTATCAACTGTAAATTTACTGAAAACGAACATTTCAATGATATTTCCTGTCAACACAAAAGCTACTTGACTGGTGATACCCACTTGGACGAAACGTCCACCAGCAGCTGACATCGACCTGGTGGTTGTAAAAACTGATCCAAGATACCAGGGTTATGATTTGTTATGACACAGGCGCACATTTTGTCTACATAAAACTCATCAGTGGCACTCGAATCAAAACAGTAGGAAGGTCAAGTCAAATACGAGGTTACAGAGCTTTAAAACCAAAAAAGTGTGCCAAAAATGAATAAGACAATCTATTTGTTGAAAAACCTAACTGTTTCGAATTACTTATTATTTTATGAACAGTGATATGATAACGCCAGTGACTCTTGTAGGCAGCAAGGATATGTGTATGTCTCTTTTTCAAATAGGTGGTTCTTCGTGTTAATGTTAAGTTGTTGTCTCGTGTTCTAGAGATGTTAAAATTTTAATAAAATTTGCTCTCTCTTCATTTTGATTAATCATCTGCTGTGGAATTGGACATATATTGAGAATTATCCTTATGCTAGTAAAAATCCTTGCTCAACCAATGACATCGATATTGAATTGTTTCATATTTCGGGGCCCTTTATAGCCGACTATACGGTATGGGTTTTTCTCATTGTTGAAGGCCGTACAGTTGTCTATAATTGCTTACATCCATTTTATTTGAACTTTGGTGGATAGTTGTCTCATTGGCAATCATACCTCATCTCCTTATTTTTATATTAAAAAACAACTGAATATTTAAGAGAAAAAATTATGTCGAAATACAACAACTGTCAAAGCATATCTCACGTTGTGGATCCTTTAATATACGAAGCGTAGAAATCAATTACTAGTATAAACAAAATAGAAAAGAAATAATTATACAAAACTTTCACTGACCATTCATAAAAGTTTGTAACATCCATAATCATCTAAACCGTGCAGCGTTTATAAAATGCAATACGTATATGATATTTTAATGAACCAAACATTTACCTACCATAAAAAACGGACTACCGACAGCATTACTAACTGCCCCTGAGAGTCCCGCTGCCAGCAGAGTTCTAAGAAATCCACAGAAGGAGCAGTCAACACCGTCTGTAAGCCCCATATCAACCATAATTTGAAAAGAACCAAGTCTGGTTCCATTCATCGATATCTGGTACCCTAATGCTGGGGCAAGACCACTCTGTACCCCTCGTATTCCATCATATTTAGCCACTGTATATAATGCATGGAAAGTATTTCGATAGAAGACTGTATAATGACCTCTTGCTTTAAGTTCGCCTTGTAACTGCATTCGTGTTTTCACTACTTCTAAAGGATTGGTGAAGCATGCTGCACAAACTGCTGCCATTGCACCTAGACTAAATTCAGTTCCGTGGTTCATTTTTCATATCCATGCAGTTATCGAATTATGTTGGTAACTGCTAGCTACTTATACAAGTGAATAAATAAAAGTTTGATAATATTAGTGACGGTTGAATGATAAACCTTCATATAGTTGCAAATACTACACAGACATTAAGGACATCTTATGTAATAAAATTTTGAGTCCTCTTTTGTACTAGACAAACTCGGTTTTCCAGACTTTATACATGCTAGTTTAAAAAGTAATAGTCCATAGAATAAATTGGCCTTCTGACTTGAGCGGACAGTCTTTGAACTCATGGAATGCTAGTACTTACCGAAAAACAACAAATACCAAGTTCAAAACCTTTGGTCGAGACCGGATTTTTTCCAATGTACCTTTTAGTACTCACTAAAAGATTGAATGAGTATTGAAAAACCCATGGTAAAAAAACCCCGACAAAACGACAAAGAACAGTTCACAAAGTACCGTACAAGCCCCAAAAGATTGAACGACATGAACCCATCCAAAAGTCGAGAATGAACGCAGGTGGTTCGGAAGGGTTTCTTGTTTCATTAGGGCCACACATTGTGCAACTCATTGCAAGTCAATTCTGTGATGTCAGAATCAAAGAAAGAGCACAGGTTTATTGCTACAACAGGCTGAATATATCCAAGGTCATTTGTGACGCAGGTAATTCCATAACGGATAACATAATCATGCTAGCGTCCATAAAACTGTCGAAGGGATGACTTCAACTTTTATATTTGGAACACTCGATTCAATAGTTTCTCGATAAGCAGCAATCACTATCAAGAAAATCATGATAGGAGACGCAAGCCACGGAACATCTTATCAAATTGGAGATAGTTACTCCATATATTCAGGTACTGCTGAAATGTTGATACACAAAACTTCAAAGTTGAGAATAGGAAAACTAAAATCATATCTGTGTTGTTGTACAATTTAGTTCTCTACCAAGATATGAAGCAGACTTAACAGTATTTTTTTTTATTATCAACTTCAATGGGATAAATGCGATCAAGATGCTTGTCTCCAAACTCTAAATTAATAAGAGAACGTCTATATAGTGGTACGTGAAATTAAAGGTTAATGCTAGCTTCTTTTCATCTTTCAAGAAAAGCTCCTTTCGTGGAGATGGGTTCCGCATGTATTCAGCATGTGTCAGCTAGTTTTTTACAATAATAAGGAAAGAATGTCAACATTGAAAAGTGAAACAAGGGAGCCACCAGGAAAAACTGTCATAGTTCTGTTACATGAACTTCCGCCAAAATGCATGTGGTTTGTTGAGCAGGGTGTTATTGTGCATAATACCACCCACCTTGCGAGACAGTCATTTAAGTTCCAAGTAACTGAAACTATCTTCGAGTCAGTGTCCCGAGTCAAATGTGCTTGTGTATTAATACACCCTGCACAGTATAACGGATGTAGTTTGGTATTAATTCATTCCACACAGTCGAGCTTTCGTCACTTAGTAAGAGTAACCGCAAGAACTCTTTTGTTTTTAGCTAGGCCTGTCACACTATGACAAATATGACACAAACTTATATTTGTGTACCTTTCATCAAAACAAAGTATGTATCTTTGAACATTGTAAAAACTAGGATTCCATTTTTTGTTGTTTTAGTCCCCTACCGACGAAGTCGAAGTGGACTTTAGGTTTGCACTCTGTCTGTCTGTCTGTCTGTCTGTCTGTCTGTCTGTCTGTCCATCCGTCAGTCCGGCAAATCAGTTTTCCACACTTTTTTTCTTCATACCTGAAGATATTGATTTCATATTTCATGTATTGTTTTATCATGACAAGTTACAGATCAGTCTCGAATTTTGTTCCGGTCTGATGATTTTGTGCAGAGTTATGGTCCTTTGACTTAGAAAAATCACTAAAAAAATACGTTTTCCGCACTTTTTTCGTTATGCTTGAAGATACTGATTTGAAAATTGGTATATAGTTTTATCATGACAAGTTACAGATCAAGTTCGAATTTTGTTCTGGTTTGATGATTTTGTGCATGCAGAGTAATGGTCCTTGGACTTAAAAAAATTCACTCAAATAATCAGTTTTCAACACTTTTTTTCGTCATGCTTGAAGATATTGACTTGATATTTGTTATATAGTTTACACCATGACAAGTTAATCAATTTGAATTTTGTTCCAATGCAATGAATGTTTAACCGGTAGGGGACTATGTATTGCCATGCAATACTCACAGAATGCTTGTTATTTAAAAAACGCCATGATATTTCTTCTTTTCTTTTAATAAATTTCAATTTAACTTCTGCTAAATATAGAAAACAATTGTCTTTTGGCTGTCAGTCTCGTCGAATACGAATAAGGCACTTTGTGTCGACAAACATAGAAAATTTTCTGGGATGTGAGCATGTATGATATCGATCATCATGTACTGTAAATTTAGATTTATGCGTTGTTTTTATAATTGTGAACATTGGAACGGGATAGGTTTCGAAGAAAATTCAAACTCATATTTTTAATAATAAGAGCATTTTATTTTGTATAAAACAATTAACTGAAATCGGTTTAATTAAACTCGCATGTTTGTCCATTATTCAAAAATCGCAATAATAAATGCACTAAATTGTTTTTGAATTTACAGTATTTGTTAAATAATGTAAAGAAACGTACCTTATAAAACAACTAACCATTTACTTTCTGCTTATATTACCAACGTTAAGATTTACAAACATTTTTTGTTGTTGTATACTATTTTGTTTTATCATTCAGTATAGGTAGATACAGGTACAACATTACTGTGTATTCAAGAAATGTTGACAAATAGAAAAATATGTTACTAAAAGACTCGGTGAACGGTTCCGTGACTGTGCAAAATGTTTAAGTTGACAATTAAAAAAATGAATGAAGAAATGCAGAAATATAATGGATCATGAATATAAAACGGACATGTTCTAAAATTGACATATTTTACCGGTATATTTTTTCTGTTTGTCAGTTTCGCCATGATCCAATTCTTGACCTGTTAGTATCTCCCAGTCGTTATCAATACGTACATGTATATATATATATATAAGCATGTTTACGTTTATATAAATTAAACTGACCAGCTGTGGTATTTCGAGCAAATACGTATACATTGTCAATGTAAAATTTAAACGGAGGGGAGTTTTCCAAAATTACGTTTTCCTGTATTATTTCGGATGCATAAAGGACGCGGATTCGAAAAAATTTTAATGTGTCTTTCAACAGCTAAACAAGTAAATACTTATCTTGTAACATATTCTATTATAAAGCAGTTGTTAGTACCACTCTCATGGTATATCATGTTTCGCTACTTGGTTTCATCTCTATGGTCTGTAATATTCATGATCGATCTCCTGATCATTGGGGCATTGTTAACGAGAGCAACTATTCTAACTTGTATGGAACTTTTGAGTTGTATTCCTCTGCCAGTATGTCACAATTGTAAAAATCACAAACAAGGCGGACGAATTATCATTTGCAAGAATGTTTTTAAGCCGCCTTAGAAGAAATTATAATTCAGAGGATGGTTGACAAATTTGCCGATACTGTATCACATGTCTTTATGCAAAGTCTGAAATAAAGAAAATAAAGTTGACCACGGTGGCCTGAATGACGTTTAATCAACTTCATCAGAAAGTCCTTTACAGCTCAGAACACTATCAAGCCTGCTAGTAACTTCATAATACATTTTCATTGCCATGAGTTAAAATCAAATTTTCAAAATATGAATCAAGTTTATTACAAGTCAATGAAGTGTGCTTAGTAATACATTGATACAATTTGAGCTGTAGTGATGCCATAAACATATTTAATATGTAGCTTATCCGGATCCTTACATTGTTGTCAATATTGTTATCAAATCATAAATTTATTTGTTCAAAAGTATTGGTATTCAATTTTTCACAAGGAATCTGTGTCCATATTGATAAAAGTGAACAGCCAGTTCTTCTTCTTCTTTCAAATACTGCCCACATTCAACATGATGAATATTCTGGCAAGATGCGCATGATTAAAAACAGGATAAAAACAAATTGTTCTGTTGATTTAGTTTGTGGTTTTGGTCACTTGAGACTTGAATATATCAAGAGACTTTGCTGTGGCGGTATCTGGTGGCAGTTTGTTCCAATCCTTGAAGATGTTTATGAAGAAGGACCATTTCCTACAGTCTTTGGTGGCTGGCTGTAATAGGTAAGTATGTTGTCCTGTCCGGTTTGAGCTTCTTGTTGGTTTTTGTAGATATTTATTCTTGTCTATGGCTACAAGGTCGCTTCTTCTTTTTATAAGTTACACAAGAAAAGATTTTGCTGGTATTCTAACTACATGTACTATGTTTCTCTACACAATAAAATAAGGACAAAAATCATTCAAATAAAAAAGGGCTGATTAGCTCATCATCAGTATACCATAAGTAAAAAGAAGAGATAAAAAAAAACAGCGCACGCGAAAAAAGTAACCCATAAAAATCTAATCGCGCACTGAAACCCTCTTTTTAAAAGTTGGCAGGTTTGATGATATCATTGGTTTTGATCACGTTTGGTTGCTGTCTCATTGACGTATACTCCAAACCTCATTTCATTCAAAATATGCTAAACACTGACTTCAAGTGTATGTCAATGCACCATTTAATTTTCCCATAAAAAGGCTAAAACTGTTATATTATCATTTGTTGAGATCGAGGCAACGAATACATGTAGCGTATATTCACAAAGAGAAGCATTCATTTCCTGTACTTTATGACTTTAAGATAATGTAACAATGCATTCTACAGAGGCAAACAGGTTGATATGAGATGTTTTAATCAGTTGTGACAAATGAACCCTTTATGGAACATAGCTTTTTCAAGACTTCCTATGAATGAATACACCTGAAATTGATAATAACGCTTTTTTATAAGCGTTGTCTCAAAATTTGACGACAAGTTCTTTGACGGTTGTTAGCCGGTAACTAGTCATTGAAGCAGAAATATTTATAGTTGAACATTTACTTGTTGTGCTGGGATATAAGATGTAATTTAAATATTTCTTGTGTAATTCAAGAGGCTGATACATAGTTTTCAGTACCAGCTGTCAGTTAGTAGTTTCTGAAATTTGTTTTTCCGTGGTCTTTTTTCTGTAGAAGTTGTAGAGAATTTGTAATCTCAGTTTTTGGTATCTCGTACAGTATTTACAATACAATCGTTATCTGCTTTTTTAGCAGGTTTAAACACAAAACTATTTTTGATAGTGTTTCTTTTGTTTTTTGTGTGTATAAGGATACTTTCGTTGAGTGTTAAATACTATAATCTACCAGATTCATGCATTTCTGAGCTAAAAAATCCAACTGGGTACAATGAACGAAAATGAGGTTATATATAAAAAAAATATGCATTCCAAATTATTACACTGGGGTTTTCGATATCACAAACTTGTCAAAACGTTTACTAAATTTTATCATCGGTACAAGGACATCATTCGTAAATATAAATCAACGTGCAGACATCTTATACGTTCAGGTATTTCACATCCAATCTTTTATGGTAATATTCTATACAAAGCACAAAAATGTCGTCATTCACCTCGAAAGCTAACCAAAGCTTTAAACAGACTTATTCAGAAGGGATATAGTTACGATACGGTTGTCAGGTCATCAAAGGTGGCATTATTTGGAATTGATATTGATTCACTTATAGGGTCTTTGCATCGGAAATAAACACCCTTTATTCCAAAACCAGTTGTTGGCATGATACGGGTTATGCCGGTTCTTCTCGTATGTTCTATGATGGTATGATACTAAACCCCTAACGATTTTTATATGATGAAAACATAATCTTTCAATAAGTTTAATTGAGGTCTGGAGCTGGCATGTCAATAACTACTAGTAGTCCTTTGTTAATTTATGTATCATTGTCATTTTGCTTAGTTTCTTCTGTTACCTATATTCTAACATCGGGTTACTGAGCGTATTGCTGTGTCCCCGTTTCCATTCTCAATTTTATTCCGTTTATTTCTAAGATATTTTTTTTTAATAAAAAATCTGTCACTTGGACGAAAGGATAAGAATGTAAGATTTTGTTGTAATTCGTAGATATATTTATATACAGTGCGATCTTCGATTACGGATTCTTCTCTTTTGAAGACCATGTCCATAACTTCAAAAAAATGAAGTTTTAGATATATTTCACTATCCCATAATGTTATCATTTATGTCAAAGTGATCATAGTTTGAGTTTGGGTGTTTTCTTTCATACTCATTCACCTAATTTCCTCGACTTTGCAAACTTTATTTTGTTTGTCAATTTGTCTTATAATCTCAGTGTTTCGTGCAGTGTTCCGTTGCTTGGTATTTTTTTACGCGTAGCATGAACCAATAATACAACATATGCAGCTTTTCCCAAAGGAAGTGTGTGTTTTTAAATCCAAAGAAACAGTTCTACTGAATGTTTGTACAATTCTCGTTTGGTTTCTCCTACACATATATTTACATATACTGACCACCACATTACGGCTTAGTCAAGGTTATGTAACAAACTAATCTTGTAATTTTTAAAAGTTACTTTCTATGAGAAATGGATACACAATGAACATTGGTGTTTGCTTAAAAGAACAATTTCCACACGAATATGCATTTACGAATAATGAGTTTTCGAATATTGTAATGTTTTGCTATCTGGAATGTGAAATCACTTTCTATTGTTTTTCACGTATTTTTCCACTATACATATTGTTATAGTCAAATTTGTTGGCAGCAATTGCTCTCTTTGGACGTGCTTTCTTCAAGAATTTAATCAATATCTCCTTTTATAACAGTCCCTTAAAAATGGATTGTATGATCCTATACAGAAAGCTCAATGCAAATGGTCTTTCTCGTCATCAGTTTGGTGTTTGGTGGTAGTATGTTTCGGGAGGCAACATTGTCAATTCTCATTTTAAATTCTTACATAATTATAAACTATTGTAACATGTGTAAATATCGTATGGAAAAGATCAGGACACATTAAATAAGTGAAAATAAGTTAACTTGAAATATTATAGAGTGTGACAACAATCATGAAAAATAGTTTAGAAAAAAAGGGCCCGTATATTCCCCTATCGCCTGTGACTGGAAAGGGTTGCTCACTTTTAAGGTTTGTAAATCTAAATAATTCCAATCTCATCTAAATATCTTTTTGGATTATATTATTGATATAAAGGCTGCTGCCATGATTATACATTTTTCCGGAATATTTTCATTCTTATTCCGACATTGACTTGTTGCACAGTGGTCAAGTTACCCGGATGTGAATGTTTTCATTGGTTTCAAAATGGAGTCAAAACAAGAAAATGCATGAAATGTAGATGCTAAAACCACAATTCCTTATGAAATATGCAAATGACTTATTCAAACAATATAAAACAAGTTCCAGTCCACCAGAGTAACACAAGAGTAGGTCAACCAAACAATAAACTCTAGATTGCTTCGACATGTTCGAGTTTACAATGGCATTGGCAATGCGAATCTGAATTTATCAGTATAAAATTAACATGTAATCAGAATTATTTGAATTGGATACTATAGACTCTGGAATCATTACTTCAAAAGTATTCTAATGCATTCCTGATGGCAGACATTTCAGTTACCATATTATTAAAACAAGACCACCAACCCCTTAGGAAAACCCCTAAACTGGCTAAAGACTAAGTAATATAATAACACAATGAAATGATAAAATAACTCATTAACTATGTAAAGTTTTATCCATGTCAACTCGTACCTTTGCAAAGTTGTACCCCATTTTTACCAACTCTCAGGTGCTCTGGACGGGTTTGCAGATCCTGCTTCACATACGACACCCGTCCTGTTATTCCGATGATTTACGTTAATTAGTAATATCTAGTGAATAGGCATCACACAATAGCGGATTGGTAATTGACTTTTATCTAACTCTAAGATATCGCCAAACTAATAAACCATTAGTAAAGTAAATGCGGTACCTTGAATGACTGAATAACACCTTTATTATCCAAATGCATTTGTAACACTTGTAATGACCGAAAAACACTTGAAATTTTAATACTAGCACATATTGGTGACATTTAAAGATTGATTATTAAATAATATATAATTTATTACCTAAAGCAGCAGAAATTGAAACTAACACCAAAGGGAAGAAAGGGTTATTTGAATCGATTGATTGGTCTGTAATTACGCAACTTTCAGTTAAGATCGTGAAAAAAAAGAAACTGCATTGTGTATTTAAACAATGATTCTATTATTGGTCATGTCTCCTTTTGTATCAGCTGGTCTATTTCTGGCTTTTTAATTTTGAATTGTTTTATAGGACTGAAATTCAGTTAAAATCATGACATATTTAAGAATTTGTAAATGCAAACTGAGAGAATGTGTTCTGTGGTGTGAGCAAACGTCATATGAAAATCACATATATCATTTTTAAGAATTTGTAAATGCAAACTGAGAGAATGTGTTCTGTGGTGTGAGCAAACGTCAAATGAAAATCACATATATCATTTTTAAGTTATGAAATACACTTATAATATAATATTATTTAATAATCAATGTTTAAATGTCACCAATATGTGCTAATATTAAAATTTCAAGTGTTATTCGGTCATTACAAGTGTTATTTGGATAATAACGGTGTTATTCGGTCATTCGTGTTACCCAAGTAAATGTTCTAACCCTGAAAGTTTACCAACTATGAAAATTTTAAAAAGAAACACATTTTTCATGACAAGAGATAGACGAGACTGTTACGGATATTAACAACATAGACATTGAAAAATTAAAAAGCACAAACAATAACACTTAAAACTAAAGCAAGAGCAACACAAACACCTTTTACACAAAACTAGGAGTGATCTCGTGTGCTCAGGAAGGGTAAGCAGATCCTGCTCTACATGTGGCACCATGGAGTGGCTCATGTAAGAACAATTTTTATAATATTTGTTTCTGATCATATAAAATGAAAAAAAAATAGATATGTTGATTTGAAAGTATGATTAAAAGATATATTCTAATTTGTGATCATTAGAGGATAATAGACATGTATACAAACTAATTAGATTGGGGTTGAATATAAAAACAAACATAATAAGGAAAAAAAATAAGACATATGATTTGAAATATATTTAACAGAAACGGAATGAAAACAGATGTAAACATGTCAGAGAAACAAATCAACAACCAGGAGATGTTTGAACACTATAGCCCACAGTATCCTCTTCCTGAAGAGATCAACAAAATGGAGAGAGACGAGACTGTATGTAAATACTGTGGTGTTAGTTACCTCATACATAATGAGATTAAAAAGTTAGAGGAGAAACTGAAAGCTACAGAAAAGGAACTGGAACATTTGAAGGGATGTGAAGTCAGGGAAAATCAACTTAAAGAAAAAGTTACTCAATTAAAGTCAGAAATTGCTGATCTTCAAAATATTATTAGCGATAAAAGTTTAATGTAGGTTTTACTTGTGTTATCTTTTTTAGTATTCAATTATATTACTGCATTTCCTTTTTGAGATTGATTGACAAATTAACTTTCAACTTGTTAGTGATGCACATGCAGATAATTTTGTTTTAAATTAGAGCTAAAGAAATTGAAACACCTTCTTTCATTTTGTCAGAAGGCTCAGAAAAACAAGTTCCATACTTCTTGGAAAGAAAATTATTGTTCCAATAAATTCCTGAATAATGCACAGATTAAATCTATTTTTTTCATTTTCATATATGCTTAAATTAAATTTTATATTCCTTTTACCTTTGTAGCGACAATATTTTACACCTGCAAAAAAAATCTGCTGCAGTTCAAGTTGATATAATTAGCTACATCCTGCAGTCAGTAAATATCTAATTCGTTTATTTTTTGTAGGATAACAACATTACAAGAGAGTTTAGAGAATGAATCAAATATGACAATTAAGTTACAAAATCATAACCATGAATTAGTGAAGAATCTAGAGAACACAACAAAAGTGAAAGATGATTTACAACAGAAACTCAAGTAAGACTTTGAAACAACAAATTCATAGAAGACATACTTAGCATGAAACAAAAAAATAAATAGAACACTTAACTTAGCATAAAACAACAAATGAATAGAACACTAACTTAGCATACAAAAAGAACAAAATCATGGTCATCTATAAAAAGTTCTCAATGTACATGTATCTATATATTTTAAACAAAGTAAAATGAAAAAGGATTGATAAGTTGAAAAAAATTAGTATCTTTTTTTCAAAATAAGTTTCAGATGTATGCAATAGATAATGAAAATGACTGAATGTAGATTGTAGTTGTATTTCAGTAGAATAAAAATTCATTTGAAAATTTGATTTAAATGGTGGAAATTTTGTGATCTTTAAATTTTTGAATTATTGTCATACATATCAATGTAAAACTGGATAATTCCTGAGTATCATTAGAAATGACCAAATTGTCCATTTGGAAAAAACTTTCATCAATTTCTATGGGCAGCTTAACACTTCCGAAAATGATTTAAAAAATATCCTAATAGATAAATTGTGCAAGGCTTGAAATTAGGGCTAATAAGGGTGAAATAATTATTTGGTTTAAAACTTTTCAAAACATGCTCCTTCATATATATATATATGATATCTTGCTGACATAATTATGTCTAAGTGTTAAATTTGAAATTTTACATATTAATGACTGATAATTGTAATTTAATTTTTCATATTCATAATGTTTGTATTTCAGATCAAGAAATGTAATATTTGACAAGCAGCTGCCACTGATAAGAAAGAAGATACAAGAACAAAAGACAGAAGTCACAAGTGTCCATCAGTTTGTAGAAGAAAGAAATAAAAAGATAAAGGAAGAAATGATGTTAATGTTTTCTGATCTGAAACAGATTTGTCAACAAAGAGATAATGGTATATATTATTGATCTCTATGTACCGATTATCAGGTAGTCTGCATATTGATATTGTAAAATATTAACTTTTTGATGAGTAAGCACAGCGAACGAGTTCAAAAAGGCTTCATATTGTGTCGAGCAGCTGATATTTTACAATATAAATATGATGAAAATCTGATAATCGTTTTATCGGATTGTATTCGTGTATTTTGCATGATAGAAACATTTGTTTTTCTTTGTTTCACCAGCAAACCGGAAGATGATTTGATAAGTTCGGGTCAAACTTAATAACGTAGGTCCATTTATTATGACATTGTTGATATGTCCAGGTCAAAGATATTGGGGTCAGATTAACGTAATTGATATCACAAAGCAATGATATGCAATTTTATGAAGAGCTGAGCAGGGTGGTACAGACAGTGCGGACACAGATAAAAGCTCATTATAGAGTCTGGCATACTATATTCAGTTCTCGTTAAGGTGCATACACTGATTCTGGATGCATGATTTTTTATCTAGATACACCATTTCATAAATCTGTGTGTCCGCGGGACACATCCCCATTACACAGGACACCATTTCATAAATCTGTGTGTCCGCGGGACATATCCCCATTACACGGGATGAGTGAGTCCTGTCATCATCAGAATAATCCCTCAGCTGTAAAAAAGCATTCGGAAAATGTGATTCTTGTCAATATTTATGCCCCACCTACAATAGTAGAGGGGCTTTATGTTTTTCGGTCTGTGCGTCTGTTAGTCCATCCATCCGTTCGTCCATCTATCCTGCTTCAGGTTATAGTTTTTGGTCAAGGTAGTTTTTGCTAAAGTTGAAGTCCAATCTACTTGAAACTTAGTTCATATGTTCCCTATGATATGATCTTTCTAATTTTAATGCCAAATTAGACTTTTGACCCCAATTTCACGGTCCGCTGAACATAGAAAAAGATAGTGCGAGTGGGGCATCTGTGTACTATGGACACATTCTTGTTTTGTTTTGTTTTCAATTCTCTTCAACTTTGTAACTATTTGGGTCTCTATATGTTTTATTTAACACCATTGCTGAGCCTTTCTGTAGATGAAATAAAGGGTCTGTTGTACCAAATTATAAGCCAAGTATGTTTGAAGTTTCTTTGTATGCTGTTTAAGAGCCCATTTGTCATGTTAAGAGCTTAAATTCGCTCTGAATTGATTAGGTTACATGTAATAACTACTATGTATAATTTTCTGTTAACTTCACTCTAAATAGACTATTTTCATATTACCGACTCTTGACTCCGGATTATATAATTTTTCGACAGGTTACTTTTTCTGTGGTTAGACATCCTGGTACTCAGTCAAGTAAGAGCGACCAAAAGAAGAAAAATCAAACACATAATCCGTGCAATTTGAGGGGAAAGTTTTCTGTTATTTGATGATTTTATCGTGTTAAGAAAATATAAAGCAGTTAATTTTCCCCTTAAATTGTGTCGATTAAAAGCTTGATTTTACTTTTTTATGTTGCTCTTACTTGACTGATACCAGGATGTCTTACCACAGAGTAGGTAACCTGTTGAAAAATATAAACTCCAGAGTCAAAAGTCGGTAATATGAAAAAGATCTATTGACAAGCTTATATTATATAATTACATCTAAGAACTACTATGTAAAATTTTATGTTATAATAATAATGTAAATATGAATCTACATTGAATGTTTTGTAAATATTACATGTAGGAACTCAATCTGACAGCAACCCCAAGACTTCTTTGTTATGGTATCCTTATTGATATTCCATATCTGGGAGTAAATGGTTATCATATATTGAGGAAGTATGAATTTGAAGACAATTGAAATATGTGACAGTCAGAAAACTATGTTTTCCATTTCAATTCTATTTCCGAATATATTTTTGAATCAGATTTAAGAATGTTGATTTATGAATACATTAAAGTACCAGTATTTTTTCTTATTTCTTTTATGAACTTTCTTCACCCAAACAAAACATTCAGTGGGAGATAACTCCATTTAATTGTTGATTGTTGTGTGTTTTTTCCTTTAGAAAAGATGAAACTACAGGAAAAGATAAGTTCATTGGAAACTGAAAAGGGTGAGGCGCTGTTGACAAGTGTAGCAATGAAGGAAAAGGTTAAAGGTCAAGAACAAGATTTACAGCAACTTTCAATATTGGTGGATGAAAACAACAAACTACAGCAACAGTTATCCAATATAGAAACAAAAACAAGAGGTAACACATGTAGATTCACACCTAACCCAAATAATTCAGTCCCTCCATGTAATAGATCTCTCCCACTTGCGAGTGCCTGAATGTCCCTAAAAGCACCATGAATCCTTGATTTTGTTTGATGCCCTGTGGGAAAGAGGACCAAACAGCAGTCAGCTCAATTTAATAAGATAGGTAATCCCTGAGCTTATTCTGAATGATTGACTATTTTTCATTGACTAGGCATTCAGGCCTTAATGTAGCTATCGTAGATCAAAGTAAAAGAACAACTGAATTATTTAGGTTAATACAAATCTGTCATATGTTAAATTTTGAAAGCATTTACAGTGTAAAATTTCTATACTGAAATGATGGAACTGCAGAAAAGAATCTCATTTTTGAGATCGCCACATATCGAGACATAGGTATGCTGTTTTTGGTGGCTGCAACAATGTATTAGTTTGTGATTATGTCTAGTTTATGGTGAACCACTAGTGGTAGGTCAATGATATTTGGTATGCAGTTGTATTAGCATTGGCACATCTCATTACCATGGAGATTATTTGGCCCCGCCCCCTCAGTCATGGTCTATTGACTTTGAAACTTTGCTTAGTTTACATGTATTAGTTTGTGATTAGGTCAGTTTATGTGGAACCACTAGTGGTAGGTCAATGAAATTTGGTATACAGTTATATAAGCATTAGCATATCTCATTTCCATGGAGATTATTTGGCCCCATCCCCTCAGTCATGGTCTATTGACTTTGAAATGTTTGCTTGGTTTTCATGTACTAGTTTGTGATTAGGTTAGTTTAAGGGGAACTGTTAGTGGTAAGTCAATGATAGTTGGTATGCAGTTGTATAAGCATTAGCACATCTCATTTCCGTGGAGAATATTTGGTCCTTACCCCTCAGTCATGGTCTATTGACTTTACACTTTTGCTTAGTTTACATGTATTATTTTGTGATTAGGTCAGTTTAAGATGAACCACTAATGTTAAGTCAATGATATTTGGTATGGGTATGCAAATGTATTGGAATTTGCAAGTTTCATTTCCATGGAGATTATATAACCCCACCTCCTCATAATGGTTCATTGACTTCGAAACTTTTACATATTTTACAAGTTAATGTTTGTGTTTAAGTTTGTTTAAAGGGAATGACTTATGAAAAGTCAATGGTATTTGGTATGCAGTTGTATTAGCATTGGCACATCTCATTTCCATGGAGATTGTTTAGCCCTGTACCTTCAGTCATGGTTCATTGACTTTGAATATTTGCATTACTTACATGTTAAAGTATTGCTATTTTAATTTCAGCATTTGCATTATCAAAATGACAAATAGGCGAGACATATCTCTGTGTTAACAGTTTATAATTTTGTGGATTAGTTTATTACAACTTATTTACTTAGAGCAGTAAATGACATCAATTCTTTAATTCCTTGTTACATGTATATCCTAATATTTCAATGTTAATACCGTTTCATTATGTGTTTATATAGATCACACAGAAGTATATTGGTTAAAGTTCTGTATTTTCACATGTCTGTTGGTAAGGCCAAAATATAAATACTTGTCTTAAAGGTCTCCCTACCTTTCTTTCTATTTATACCTCAAAATGCTTACCATAAATGAACAGTGACTGAATTGTAGTGGGTCCCATATATTCAAGGTAAAAAAAATGAACAAAATTAAAAATGTTTTGACCAACTTACCATACTTCACCAAATGAGAAAACCCTTATCACATTTTTTTTTATTTGGCCTGAATATATATCTCATTCATAATCTGCAGTTATATATAAGTGATTTAAAGCAGGTTTGCAATATTTGTTTCTTTATCATGTAATATATTCAAGTTATTTTACTTCTCAGTCTATGTTTCTTCATAGAATTAATGTACCAATCCATAGTCTGATAATCAAATTTTGCAATCTACATTATACAGAAATTCATCATTGTATATAAAGGTATAAAATGTTTTGTTCAACAGATTTACAACACGAATTGGACGAGGCAGTATCTAAATGTAGAAGTTTAACAATGGAATCTCAACAGTTCAAAGATCAGTTAAGGTAAATATTAAAGTAACAAAAATAGATGGGAAAAGTTACAAACCAGAAATCTCAGACATGGGGATTTTGCTTTTGTCCAGTATGCTTAACAGACAACTCTTGTAACTATGGTATCCACTGAAAGATCCTACCAGCAGCTTTGTTATCATGCATTTATCCATGTATCTGACGTAACCTAAAAATTGTTTTTCAATTATAAGCATAGTGTGCTTAAGTGCATTATTTTTTCTGACAAGAAGGCAATGAAATTGATAGAAATGCATTGTATTTAAAAAAAAGACATTTCATTTAAAGACTGAATAGTTTTTTTAATTGAATGCAATTTTTCTCATTATTGTTATTTTCTTTTCAGGAATAAAAATCAGGACATGGAAGAACAAACAGCACAGTTCAGACGGAAGGAACAAAACTCTGAAATGACAATACAAAAGTAAGTATTATAATATATTAATTATAGCTGATAGTGTAATCATGATATGAAAAATTCCTAAATAAATTTTTATAGGAAAAAAGTATAATATAATGCTGATATTATTTATATTGATTCCCAAGCTCTCTTGCTTTCTGCAGCAATAAATCTGTCTTAAAAAAAAATTACAAAATGGAATTAACAACTTTTAAACAAGCGAATAAACAATTGACAATGAAATGAAATGTTCTATGTAAAATAATTGGTGTTTTATTTTGTTTTCAATTTTTTGAATTCTACAAACAGATATACAGATCAAAATTATATGCATTTACATGTAGCTAACACTTTATAATTATAGATTACAGAATGAACTAGGGAAGAAACAAGCAGAATTTGCATCTGTTTTAAAAGATTATAAAAACTTAGAAAACCGACTTCATGAACAACAGAGAAAAGAGGAAGAAATCCACAGGAAAGCTACTTTTACTGTCAGTAAGTACTGGTAGAAATATGACTACATATCAATTAAATGGATGATGATATTTTATAGAGCCAGCAGCCCAACACTACAATTCACAAAAATATACCTTAATTCTCTTGAGTCTAATTGTAAAACGAAAGTTACAAAGAAAACAAAAGATCTGATATTAACACCAAATTCCAAATAAACCAACATATTTGCACATACATGTATGTATTGGTATGATATCATGTCTTGTAAATAACAGACACATATTTTCATTAGATTTATCTCAGGAGTAAGTCCAGTCTCATGACTTTGTGATGTCCAAATTGTTTGACTGAAAATTATTAAAGCTAATCTGATGCCATAATATTTGTCCTTACATCAAATACTGTGAATAATTTTTTGTATCAATTTTTGTGGTTCGAGAAAAAAATGCAATTGGAAGTTTCTTAATTTTTTCATTTCATCATTTGCTCATATCAAAGAAGTTAAAAATTTGTATTTCATTGAATTATTTAAATTCGTTGTTTTCCACTAACTACTAAATCCACAAAAATTGGTATCCTATAAACATTAAGGAATTCGAAGTATTTAAAGTCAAATTCAGTTAGTTTAACTAAAAATTATCCTATCTACTTTTGGAAAGCTTGAAAAACAGAAAAGCTTTGAAGCTTAAATTGAAAGCACTCACAATAATATGATAAAACCTATTATAATGCTATTAAAATAAGATAAGATTTTTTTTTCTATCGATATTACAAAATATCAGCTTCTAAACACAACATGAAGTTTTATACATTATAAGTTTGACATACCAAGGAATTATTTTGTGACAAGCAGCTGATATTCTTCAAATTAAAATTTACGTTAAAATCTAAGTGGTAACTTTTTTCGCTTATTTCTTGAAAGGAAGGGTCATCTTTCAACTTCAAATTCATTGTATTATGCATGTTCGCTACTCTGTTTCAAAGTAACAAGCTTTTTAAAAGACTTTTATAAATTAATATGATATAAATAAATAAAAAAAAATTGCAGAAATAAATAAAAGGGTCCATGTAAAATTGAGAATGGAAATGGGGAATGTGTCAAAGAGACAACGACCCAACCATAGAGCAGACATGTGCTTGCTTTCGAGATATAAGCCATTAAAAATTTGGCGGGAAATGATTCTCTCTAGATTTTTCATATTTTTAACATTGACACCTTTTTACTTTCAAAAACTATGAAAAAATAACAAGGATATATAAGATTTTCAAATATGGCTTTTTAAACTATGTGTAATAATATTATGAAAAGAAAAGTAGGGGTTAGTGGGCAAAATGTTTTAATGACACTACATGGATAAAACCAGAGGATTCCGAATATCTGGCAAAAATTCAAAAACAAGAGAAGCGAACATCCTTAATGAAGTTACTGAAAATAATTGTTTTACTTCCTTGTCTTTAACGTAGACATATATATATATATATGTGTGTGAATTTATGTTATGCACTTTTTTCCTTGTCTTTAACGTAGACATATATATATATATATATATGTGTGTGAATTTATGTTATGCACTTTTTAGCTGAAAGTAGAGAACTTAAAGATGTATTGAACAAAGCAAAAGCAGAGATAGAACAATTAAAATCTGAGAGGTAAGATATCTAGCAAAGGTAGAGGTGGCAGCCTAGGAATGAATAGAAAATCACTGTTAAGAACAATGAGAGAAAAATAACCAGTTAATATTTTATATAAAAAAGGGAGATCGCATGGTTGAATAAATGAAAGTGCCCTCTACCTCTTTCAAATCTGTTATACAATCATTTTTACACAATCCTTACTCACAGCTTGATGCACATCAGGGAAAATACTGAGATAATTACTGGTATATACACTGTACATGAGTTTAAAGAAAAGAGCTTTTATTTCTGTTCTTAGTTCTTTTAATTGTTGGAGGTACATAAACAAGTACAACAAAACTAAAAGATCAGGACACCCTCTTCATTGTTGACAGTTCCTAAAATGTAAAGGCTGTACTAGTCTCAAGTCCTTACTCCCTTTTTGTTCTTTTCTTTATATGTATCTTATTCAGAGATTTGTACTTAAAATAGTTCAGCATAGGTCACACAAAGTTTACTGTGTCAAAAAAAGTTACCAGATATAATAATTTCAGAGAGTAACCAACCTGTGCTTTCTAAATACCCTTGCTAAAAGTTAAATACATTTTTGTTCTGTACAGAGAAGTGATGATAACCTCCCATCAGAACAGAATAGAACAGCTTAGACAAAGTTTCCAAAATAAACTATTTGAGGCAGATAAATGGCCAGAAAAGGTATGTTTGTATATTTTAACTTTGTTTATACTTCAATATTTTGTAATTTTTGTGTTTAATTGTGCTCCACTTATTACACTCTGATCACTCATTATATACAAAACAGAAAGGAGTGCCTGTTTGACCAAAATATAACAATAATAATGATAAATTAATGATAATTATTATTATTTTAAACCAGACCTAAACCTAAGGTTGCACCTCCTTAAATAAATCTGACTTTTTGTTTTTTTTATTCTCCAAAATGTTTTAGTTATGTTTGCTGATAATCAAGGTTTTTTGATAGACGCTGAATTCTGTGCCATACATTTAAATGCTTCCTGGAACTTCATGCATCAGATTTCACAAAATGACTTGTCCTAGAACCCAGTCAGTAACTTTTATTACTAGGGAAATGAGAAGTCAACTTGCATACTTCCTTTCAAATTTTTTCTTCATAATTTCCATAATTTGTGTATAACCATGAGATTATTAAGCATATTTTAAAAGTGTGTAAAAGTCAGGATTGAAATAAGTAAACATGTCATTTTATTCTGTTACATTTTGTTTTTTATATTTCAGTTAGAGGAAGCTTTGAGGAAAGAGAGAGAGAAACATCAAACAGCTTTGAAAGCTTTAGAAGACAGCCTAGTAGAAAACTTTGTCATGGTGAGAACTTTTCATACAACTGATCTTCATATGATACTCACTGTAAATTCAGAAATTATTGGGTGCATTTATTATTATGATTTTTGATGAATGGACAAAAATGGGAGATATGTATCAAATTTAGAATGTGAGCTCTTATTATATGGAGATATGTATCAAATTTAGAATGTGAGCTCTTATTATATTGATACTCACCCAGTCATATTATTCGCATTATTAAAAACCTTGCAATAATTTCTGAATTTACAGTTATGAAGGAAAAGTTTAAGACAGTTGAAAATGTCTTACTTTTAAAGGTCAGCAGAAAATTTTAATTGTTGTATGCACTGAAAGTTTCCTAATTAAACTTCTTCAGGCATCCTACAGTTTATACAGAATTTCTTTTAAATAACTCCATAGTAAATGAATTTTACCCTCACTTTCAATAGATTTGTCATCTGGAACAAACTACCTATTTGGTATTGTGAAAACATTCTTACCTAAAGTTGGGAAGGTTGTGGGTGTAAAACCTGCTTTGTCAAATCAAAGGCTTCAAAATTAATTGCTTCTTTTCTCCAAGCACAAGGTATTTAGGAATAAGAGCAAAGATTCGACGGCTCAGAGTGAGCTTGAGTAAGAATAAAGTGTCTGAGTAGGGTTAAATGTCTTCCTGAGGACTGTTACTTTGTGAGCCTCCATGTCAAAAACCTGACTTAGTGTTTTGGTCTTGTACAAAGCAGGGTATATTTATATCTCATCAGAATGTTATTGCTCTAAAAATGGCTGTAATATATTTTGGTGGATAGTAAGCATCAATTTATAAATTACCTGGAGCTTGCCTTTAAATGAAATGCTAATTCTAAAAAATATACATTTTTTGTTATCTGAATTGAATTTAGATTTTAGCTTTAAAGAATGGGTTTCAGAAGTTGTTTTTGAAAAGAATTGAGTTTTTTTCAATTTAGGTTAATTTTTAAAAAGGTGTTTACAAAATAATCACATTTGTTTTCCATTCATTTGTCTTGTGTGTTTGTTGGACTAAAATACTTTCTTTAGAACAGGTCTGATATGAACTTTTGAACTTTTTACATCTGTAATCTAATGTATGAAATAGAATTTTTTTTTATCAATAGTGAATATAAGAGTATAAACTTATTTTAGGTAGAAATTCCTCATATTATTTATATAAATATAAATGCTTTGTTACAGGAAATGCAGATAGAGAAACAGAAATATCAAGAATTATTAGAAAAATATCAAGGTTCTACTAAAAACCAGGAATCAATGGTAAGGATTTACCCAATATGTATATAGTGAATAATTATTCATTAATTGAATAGTATAAAAAGATTTCAACAGACTAAATAAGTAAACAGATATGTAATAGTTAGGTGTAATAATTTGCATGTGAACTGTTTGTCTACATATATATATATATATATATATATATATATATATATTTATTTTTTCATTGATCAATTTATGCTGCATGTAGGTCTTTTCACAAATTTCTTTGCACAATTGTATAGGGTTAACAAAACAGAATCGATTGCAGTAAGACTAGTTTAGCTCACCTTTATGAGAGTTTTTACTTTGTTATCATTTTATATCATTATACCTTTGTTAACTTCTTTCCATGATTCTTTTCACCATGGGATTTTTATGCCCCACTTACCATAGTAGAGGGGCATTATGTTTTTTGGTCTGTGCGTCCGGTCGTTCGTCTGTCCGTTCGTTAGTCCGTTCGTTCGTCTGTCTGTCCCGCTTGAGGTTAAAGTTTTTGGACAAGGTAGTTTTTTTATGAAGTTGAAGTACAATCAACTTGAAACTAAGTTCATATGTTCCCTATGATATGATCTTTCTAATTTTAATGCCAAATTAGAGTTTTGACCCCAATTTCACAGTCATCTGAACATAGAAAATGATAGTGCGAGTGGGGCATCTGTGTACTATGGACACATTCTTGTTTCTTGTAAAACTAGAGCAGAATTAACCAGTGGGTATATTTCACTTTCACTTGTATATTCACAAATGTCTGCATGAGTTCACTATTCACATTTTATTTTAAGTTAAAATCACAGCTTAATGATGTGGAAAATAGGTACAAAGCTGAGATCAGGGATCTACAGAAACTCTTAGCAGATAATAAAACAAGAGCTAAGGAGACAGAAGAATCTTTGAGAAGAGAAATTGAAAGTCTAAAATCAATTATTCGAGACCTAGAAGATAGATTAGGTAAACCTATATGTTTAAGTTCTACTTCTTGCTACATATATTTTTGGCAACTACACTGAAATTATACCTTATATGGGGATATTTTCAGGTCCGCTTTAAAACTTGATACTTACATTAAGGATGTTTAATAGCTAAGTTTATTATTTGCAATTACCCAAGAAAGACAATGCAATGTCAAGGAATTATGAGTTTTCTGTCAGTAAGTTTACACTTTTAGCATTGAAATGTGTAATTAAAAAAATAACAAAAATAAGACGCACACATTTTTTCTTCTTCCATATATGAACCTATGATATATTATTTCAGCTCTGTGTTGAGTATCAATAACTAATAAGAAAAATATAAAATACATATATATAACAAGTTTTTATGATTGTAATCTGTAATTGTCATCAGAAGGCTGTCATGACATTTCATTGACTTCTGGCCTACATTATTGGCTTTAGTCATATATACATTGTACAATGCACTTGTTCTGAAGACCTTTTATATAATAGGCTATCCTGATACAACATGTAATCATACATTGTATGGAGTGTTTTTACTATTATTACTCAAGAAATTTAAAATGCAATATTTTTCACTGAGAAAGTATAATACTAAAAACAAGTCAAACATGTATCCCAGTGACCATTTGTCTTGAGAATCTTGTAAGGCTGTTAATTTACAATGTTTCACAATCCAGCCAAAGCACATAATTTACTGCCAGAAGAATAGAAATAAAGTGTATATACATTTGTGACAACTATATTTAGATTGGCCCTTTAATAAATGAATTTTTTATTTAATTTTATTTTGTATTATGTTTTAAAAGAGGTGAGACTAAAAAAAAGTATTGAAAGCCATACCATGACCTATATAATTGGATGGTTATGAATTAAGTCATTAATTTTCTCGTTTGAATTGTTTCACAATTTTCATTTCCTTCTTCTTATTTTTATATTTTTTGTTGGTGTTGGTGTTGTATTTGATTAAAACAAAATATTATTTTATTTCAATTTTAGCTCGGTTAGATCATGGTAGTGATGAAAAGATGGCTGAACTGAAAATACAGCTTAAAGAAACCCATGAGGAGTTAGAGGAAGCTAGAGAGGAACTTACTAAAAAGTCTGATTTATTGAAGACAACAAAAGATGAGGTATCTTAAATGAAACAGATAGCAACATATACAATACAAGAGCCTCCTGTGAAATTCATTTATCAGATTAACCTCCAAATGCAAACAGTTCTCACCTTAAACTTATGTTTTCAGATAAAGTGTGTCTTGGTATTATGATAATATTTCTTTCTCTTATATATGGCCAGTAATTGTTGAGAAAATACATACACTGTGGATTCAGAAATTAATGTAGAAATGCAACAGTATGGGTATTGATATAATCAAAACTAGAATATTCAATGTGCTAGTAGTACTTTATTACAACTTTTGGAGGAATTGCATCAATTAATGTCCAATTTTTAGCTCACCTGACCCAAAGCCCTTTGATAATGAGCAAAACCCATACAGTTAAGCAAGCCACAAAGGGCCCTTACACGAAGAGATGTAAAATGATTCAAACAAGAAAATGGAAAATCCTGATATATGATTAAACAACGAAAAAACAAATATGACAGATACAAACCAACAGCAGCTGTTACTTTGGTAGCAATATAATCTTCAGTCGTTATCCATTTAAACCCCCTTATCACTCTGTTGTAAGAAAATAATATGAATTACATGACAAAATCAGATGCAAATAGAGTTTTGCTTTTACAGGTGAAGTTTTTACAAGAAACAGTACAAAGGGAAGTAGAGGAAAGGTTTGAGTTGACAGAGGCACTGAGTACTGCCAGGACAGAACTTCTGAAACTAAAGAAACCTCCAGGTACCCTAAATAAAATTTGGCACTTGCAAAAAATAACATATTGCTTGTTTTATCAACACATGTCGAGAGACTGAAGTTAAACTAATATTGAATGTTCAGATTTAGAGATTCAAAGTAAATATTTATTTATATGCAGTAAATATTTGGCAAAAATAAATAACTTTATTTAAATTAACAATTTCATCATTGACATTTGACCTGAGAAAGAATGATTAAAGTTTAAACTGTCATTTTGTATTCTTTTATCATTGTTAAGAAAGAAGTTTAGTCATAGAAATTTTCTTTCATGTCTGTAGTTTCTCTTTTTATGTGGTCTCTTGAGATTGAGACTAAGAAGAAATCATAAAAAAGTACATAAAATAGCTTACAGTGTAGTCAGAACTGTCCAAGTATATCCATGGCACAGAGAAAAGGAAGAACATATTTTCAAATGAACTTATACTGGTTGTACTAATTGCATTTTAAAAATATTTAAATGGAGTGTTTTGTTGAAAAAAATGATCTATAAAACTGAATGTTTGTATTAATACTGATACCAGAGTAGTTGGTCACAAACTTGTCATTTGGTCTCTGGTGTATAGTTGTCTCATTGGCAATCATATTATATCCTTACTATATTTATATAAGCAACACATTCTAATTTTTAGATGGTTAGTAAGGTTAGTAATAGCGATTAAGAGAACATCAAGCATTCACTGGTTTAGCTGTGGGAGATAACTACTGCGGATTCATTTATTTTCATGGATGGATGAAAAAATGTATTTTCGTGGATTTTTAATTTCATGATTGTGTGCATAAAAGCCTATAGTAAATTTATACTTTGTTGAACATTTGAATTCGTGGTTCACCTTTACCCATGAAATCAGTAAAAGGAGTAGGTCCGGTAAGACACCTTTTTGGCCCCAAAATATAGCATTTTTACAAATTTGTTGAAATGTAAATTTTAAGTTATTTATTGGAAAGAAGAATACTTCTGTTCTATAAATATGGGCTGTTTTTTTACAATGAAATGCACATGCATCAGGTACTAGCATCATTAATTCATGCAATATTACTGAAATCTTCACAATTTTAACATTTGTGCTACTTTTAAGACATTTTTTGTCTAAAATGGAAGTGGCCGCATTTGTGTTCAGTCTTAATATTTACATATATGTTGTATTTGATGATAATACATAATATATATAAAGGTTGAGACTGAACAAGAATGCGGCCACTTCCATTTTAGACAAAAACCATCTGAAATGTGACGTTTTATGGCATATTTGATAGATTTTTCATACTCAAGTTTGAATTTGAGCGTCCTTCATGACCAAATCAGTTCAAATCTTTTACATAAACTAATTGAAGTAGACACTTAAGTGTTTAAAAAATGGTAAAACTCTTTCATCAGATGTATTTCAAATTTTAGGCCAAAACTAGCCCTTACCGGACCTTCTCCTTTGGTATCCCACTAATAATAATGAATCCTTAGTATCTTACACAACTTGGGCATTTTAGGATGTTTCATATTCCTCCACAGTGTTTATATAGCAAATGATGCATTATGTTTTGTAGGTGGGTACAGCGGAGGCAGTAATCCACGACAGTCGACTGCCGACAGTAACATGTCGTTGAAATCTGTCAGTACAGTGAACAACAATACAGCAAATACAGAAAACATGAACAGTGCTAGGAACTCTTCTGTCAGTGATCTGAACAGTGCAAGGAAACATTCTAATGATGATCTTAATAAACTAAATAATAAAAATTTAAATAGACAGGGGACTTACACATCATCGAAAAGTTTAAACCCACTGAAAACACCGCCAGTACAATCAAGAGAGATATCTACAGTCAGTGCAGCAACGGTCAGCAGTTCTCATAGTTCTGTTTCGTATGGCGGTGATCCTGCTAAGCCTCAAGGAAAAATGAAAGGAGGATCTATAGCAGACACTAGAAAAAGGATAGCAAACATTTTAGGGAGAAAATCATGATACTATATACAATTTTTACTAGCAGTGTTTTAATTGAAATCCTTATAAGAGATTGTGCTTTTACTCAGAATTTTTTAGGCAGTTTTTACAAATATGAGGGTGAAGTATAATTTATTTATTATAATATTGCCAAGTTATGCTAGTCAAATTTGTAAGTTAGTCCACACTGGATCAGTTTATCATTCTTTGGATTTTTTTCTTAATTTGAAAGGTAAGATGTTGAATAAATATAAGTTCTCTGTGTCACACTCCAAAATGATTAAAAGCCACCCATTTTAGCTTTTGTTGATAAATTTAATTAAGATAAAGACACTTGAGGTCACATCTATATTTGAATCAAAAGTGAAATTTTAGTCCTCAAAAATATCATTTTTTGTCGTAAAAAAAAATAATCATTAGAGGCATTTAAACACTTGAACATTGTTTCAAAAAGCTTTTGAAAGCTTAAAATACGTAATTTTTGAATGTATGTACAATTACAGTTGTAAAAGCCTTACTGTTTGCTTTATTGATCATTCTCATTCTTTACATTTTTTTAAAATAATATAACTGAATAAAAGTAAGTTAAGAACTGGTTTTCAACTATTAATGTCTTCCAGAAAAAAGAAAGAATGAATCATTGATTTGGTGTTAGCATATATATTTTTTATACTCAATGTGATAAAGATGAATTTGTGCATTTACTTTTATAATTTATGTATTTATTGGTGTTGTTAAGATTGCTCCTGTTTATTGCCATATCAGCCATGAATGTTATGGATGAAACTTCTCTGTCATCAAAACCTGACCTTCAGTGTTATAAGATCTGTGTCAGAATAAGTAATGATTGTAAACCATTTATATATTGTTTCTAATTATAGTCATTCTTGAGTAACTGAATTTTTACATGGTTCATACTGTGGATTCATATATTTTTAGCTCACCTGGCCCAAAAGGGCCAAGTGAGATTTTCTCACCACTTGGCATCCGTTGTTGTCGTTGTCTGTTAACTTTTACAAAAATCTTCTCCTCTGAAACTACTGGGCCAAATAAAAGCAAACTTGGCCTTAATCATCCTTAGGGTATCTAGTTTAAAAAATATATCCGATGACCCTGCCCATCAACCAAGATGGCCACCATGGCTAAAAATAGAACATGGGGGTTAAATGCAGTTTTTGGCTTATTTCTCTAAACAAAAGCATTAAGAGCAAATCTGACGGGGTAAAATGTTCATCAGGCCAAGATCTATCTGTCCTGAAATTCTCAGACAAATCAGACAACCCGTTGTTGGGTTGCTGCCCCTGAATTGGTTTTATTAAGGAAATTTTGCAGTTTTTGGTTATTATCTTGAATATTATAATATATAGAGATAAACTGTAAACAGCAAAAATGTTCAGCAAAGTAAGCTCTACAAATAAGTCAAACATGATCAAAATTGTCAATTGACTCCTTAAGGAGTTATTGCCCTTTAAAGTCAATATTTCACAATTTTTTGTAAATTTTTGTAATCTTTTACAAAAATCTTCTCCACTTAATAATCTACTGGGCCAAATAGAATTAAACTAAGCCACAATTTTCAATAGCGTTTCTTGATTGAAAAAAGTATTGGACAACCATGTCATCTAACCCACATGGCCGCCATGGCTAAAAATAGAACATAGGGGTTTACTATAGAAGTCTATGGGAAAATTGTAAAAAAACAATTTCAAATGGTCACAACTTGAAAACTATTTTAAATAATGATAAGGGGTCTTCAGTAACTATTGTAAGACTTTAAAGGGATGACCTGCTTTAAATTTAACTACTGGGCAGAATTAAACCAAACTTGGCCTCAACTATTATTAGGGTATCTAATACTATTTATTATGATTTTAACCTTATTTTACATGATTTCCAAAGCCACAGTAGATACAGGTGATCGACACAGGCTCTTGAGAGCCTCTAGTTTGGATTTTAATTATTGTGGATTGAGGAAACATTATATTTTTCTGGATATTTTATTTTTGTTGAACAGTTAAATTCCTGGTTTCCCTATACCCTGGAAATCAATGAAAAAGTTGGTATCTCACTATTAATATTGAATCCACAGTATGGTATTTTTTTATGAGCATTTAGGAAAAATACCTTATGATATATGTTATATTGTTGCTTTAGCTATAGTGTATTTCAATTTCATTTCATGCAGAACATTAGACTTATCATCCCACTGTCCAAGGCATGGTTTTGGTGACTTTAAATTAGTCAAGTGGTTAGAATAATTTTTGGTAGGTTACAATGTTTCTGAAGAAGAAATTATAAAATGTACAATGGTAATGCAATATTACAGTGCTATTTGTCACATAAGAGGTCTTTTGATTTTGAAAAAAAATAAATGAAAAATTGTGAAAAATAATTTGTCCATTATATTTTTTGAAAATACAAGAAATAAGTATCCTGCCGATAAATGTTTTACTTACTTATTAAGAAGGTAATGTATTTCTCATATCAAGATATTCACCAACACTACTGTGATATTGTTTATTGTAAAGAACTTTTGTGGTCAATGTGTTCACTTAGGCCCACTGTCTATGCAAGCTACAGTAAGCTACATTTAACAGCATCCCTGGGTCTAACAGGTAGTTAAATAAGAGGAAAAATCATCAATTTGTCTTTTTATCCCTGATTGCCAACTTCAGGGTTTGATTACCTTAGTTGGCTTTAAACATACCTGTAACTGCTACTTAAAATAGAATAAATTAGACAAAATTCAATATAAAGTTGTCAATATTTTTGTTAATTCCTACCAGTAATAAACTTATAACTCCCATAATAAATTCTATATATTTTTTAGGCAGTTAAGCTGCCTAATGCTAGCACCCTAGATTTGTGTTCTTCCGAACGAATGCTGAAAAGAGTGCCATTGTTATTAACTAGCAAGCTAATATGTTATTTATAACTTATTGGACACTTTTTTCATACTTTTAATTCTGGAATACAAAAAATATGACCAGAATAACCTTAAATGATCGTCGAACGACGTAAAATATTTGAAGTTGCACATAGGAAATAGTGCTCAATAGAAATCCGTACGTAGTTTATTATCCCCTGTGCTTTTGGCTAAGATGTCAAAGAACAATTGTATGAAATATTTCATCGCCGAAATTCTCTAATTACAAGTCATTTACATTTCCCAAATGGCAAAAGGCGCAGCAATATTGTTTGGTGGCTGAGAATTATATCACATGTACCTACTAGTCTAAGTTGGCGGTAATTTTAACTTAAAAGATACACGAAACGTAAGTTAGACATTGATTCTGATGATATAAAGCCCGATTATAAGTAAATATTGTTAATCATGATATTCTTTTTGCTTAAGAAGATTGTGATTATTTAATTGATTTCAATTTAATGTATGCACATGTAAATTCCTTTCTTTAATTATATTATTCCGTGTCTCACTGACCTTGCCAGATAAAGTTGTTGTTATTTTATGAAATGAAATAGAACCAGAAATCGACGTTGATTGGTCGATATATTTTAATATTTTTTTTGAATGCAGGACAACTCGGCCCAGAGACAAGTCGGACCGAGTCCACTCGGACCTTCTAAGAATACAACTCGGACCGTCAATGAGACAACTCGGATAGAGTATAAAGGTTTCATAAAATGTTAGAGTAACATGTCTTTTGGAGCCATCAATCTTTCGTTTGTGCATTGAGGTCTTGTATTATTTTTAATTTTAGTTTCTTGTGTACAATTTGGAGTTTAGTATGGCGTTCATTATCACTGAACTAGTATATATATTTGTTTAGGGGCCAGCTGAAGGACGCCTCCGGGTGCGGGAATTTCTCGCTGCATTGAAGACCTGTTGGTGGCCTTCTGCTGTTGTCTGTTCTGTGGTCGGGTTGTTGTCTCTTTGACACATTCCCCATTTCCATTCTCAATTTTATTTAGGGATATTTTGAGTGGCCTAAAGAAGGGAGGGGTATACTATATAACCCTATGGGATTTTATTTTTTTTTAATTTTCTAATGACTATAACTTGAAAAAAGTAAGTGATAGACACAAGCGGTCTTCAGTAATGATAACAGGACAATAAAACAAATCAAATAAGATATAGGGTGAGTCCCTTGGGGTCACCCCACCCCCTTCAATTTGAGAATGTGCTTTTATCTTCTAAACGGTCGCAGTCCCCACCCCTAAACCATATATATTCTTGTATGAGACAATAAAACAAATCAAATGAAATATAGGGGGAGTCCCTGGGGGTCACCCCACCCCTCCTGTTTAAGAACTTGTAAACGGTCAAGATCCCCACCCCTTCACCATATATATTCTTGTATGGGACACCAAAACAAATCAAATGAAATATAGGGGAGTCCACAGGGGTCACCCCACCCCCTTCTGTTTGAGAACTTGTAAACAATCGAGATCCCCACCCCTAAATCTTATATATTTATGTATGGGACAATATAACAAATCAAATGAAATATAGGGGGAGTCCCTTGGGGTCACCCACCCCCTCATGTTTAAGAACTTGTAAACGGTCAAGATCCCCACCCCTTCACCATATATATTCTTGTATGGGACAATAAAACTAATCAAATGAAATATAGGGGGAGTCCACGGGGGTCACCCCCACCCCCCTTCTTTTTGAAAACTTGTAAACGGTCAAGATCCCCACCACGAAACGATTTATATTCTTGTATGGGACTATAAAACAAATCAAATGAGATAAAGGGCGAGTCCCCTGTGGATCCCCCCTTTTTGAGAACTTGTAAACGGTTGAGATTCCCACCCCTTAACAATATATATTCCTGTTCATGATTTCAAGAAGATTTGAATGACATACAGGGTCAATCTCCAAGCGTCACTTATGCATATCACTTTACTAGGCCAAACCAATTTGTACTGGACGTTGCCCAATGTCAGGCGACCATGGGAATGATGAACTATGGGAGCTTGTTTGGGAGACTTCGTAACAGTATCCTTTTCCAATTATTTCTTGTTTATTATAAAATTTAATTGATGCAAAAAATAAGTTTAGGTTGAATTTATCCTAATTATTTTTTGAATTATTTCTGGGCCTATAAAAATTTTCATTTATGACTCATTTTAAAGAAAACATATAAATCTTTCAAGCAGTGTAATGCCCAAGAATGCTTGACCAACTGTTTTATAATCACCTGTCATTTTATTCCAAACTTGGTATGGAGTGACATCATGGACTTGGGGTGGGGTGGGGGTCATTTACTATGGGCAGGTCAATCAGACCTCACCTTTGATCGATCACTGTAGTTGTAAAACTTTGTCTGATTTGTGTTTCATAACTTTTGAACTGTAGAACCCAAACTCAGTGTTCCTTCCAGGTAAGCAAGTCCACTCATACGATTACAAACTCGTACTACGTCAACTCGTACCCAAACGTCAACTTGTACCAATGTTAACTACCAACTAGAATAACTGTAAAATCGTATCGTTGCAAACTTGTACCACTGCAGACTCACCATGAAAAATATACATTGATATATGCATTGCTTTTGAAAACCTTGATAAAATATTAATTAATTTGCCTTAATATCCAATTCATTAAATAAACATACATCGATGACACCTGCTGATCCAACTAAAAATGGTAATGTGGCATATGAAAAGTCTTAATTAGTACATATTGGAATAAAACTACACCACTGTGGAACACTGTAATATTAATGACATTGTTCCTGCATAAGTTAAATTCATTCAATTGTGTATAGAGAAGTTGACAGAAATTAGCGTCTATATGTCACCGTACGGCCTGCAACAATGAGCAAAACCCATACCACATAGTAAACTATAAAAGGCCCCAAGATGATAAATGTAAATAGTTCCAACAAGAAAACCAGCAGCCTGATTTAAGTCGAATCAATAATGATTTGATTTGATTTTTGGTGTTTTAACGCCAATTTTAAGCACCGTTTTGGGGCTATTTCGTGGCAGCCAGTTTTTATTGGTGGAGGAAGCCGGAGTGCCCGGAGAAAACCACAGACCTTCGATAGGAAAACTGACAATCCTGGTCAATTAAGATTGGAGTCGAGTGCACCCGCACGAGCGGGGTTCGAACTCACAACCTCAGTGTTGACTGGCTAGTGATTACAGTAGTAATTACTTAGACCACTCGGCCATCGAGGCCCCTCGAATCAATAATGAAAAACAAATATGATATACAGCAACAAATGACAACCACTGAACGACTAGGGACAGGCACACACATAATATGGCAGGGTTAAACATGTCAACTGGTGCCAAACCATCCCTTAACCTGGGACAGTTACATACATCTTCTCCGAATTGAATCTTCAAAAGGATACATATTTTAAAGTAATTTAAAGATAAATGATAAACGTTTGAAAACAAAGGTATATTGTTATAGAAAAGTGTGTAAGACAGTGCAGCAAATATACCAAACAAATCTGATACTTGAGATATAACAAGCTGTGATAAACAATTCAAGCAACACTGCCATAGTTTTCATCATTAAGTTTGCCTTGGTTTTTGGTTAACTGCCTATAGCGCTTACAGTGCTTTGATTATATATAATTTATATCCACAACCATTAGCAAACATGGCAATCAATTATTAGAAAGACAATTGAAGATTTTAATGACTCAAATATCAACTTTAATTCGTCCTGGATCAATCCATTAAATTGCCTGCTAAAGTACAAACATACAATAAGTTTTCTCCTTATTGGTTTTGTTAAATTTTTGCAAGCATTTCTTTTATCTTAGCACTCTATTTTATACAAAAGAAATGTAAGTGCATGCAAACGTATTGTGCATCAACTGTCTTTGTACACCTCATGTCTTAACACGATTACTATTGCAACAAAGATTTATTAAAATCCTAAATCAGAGAAAGTAATAAATGTTGAAATATGATATATTTATCTCATTTTTGATGCCATAAGATTTGACAAAAGATATACAAATAATTCATCTACATTGAGTCAGAATCAGAAATTTATTTTGCATCAAAACAACAATTCATTGACACAATACCATTAACAATATCTAGAGGTAAACATATGTCAAGCTTTAAATCTCAATCAGGTAACAAAAGCCATGAAAAATGCTGCAGCAACTAGAGAAGATTTGTCCTCATCAGACTAAAGGACAAAAAACAACCCACTACAATGCATATACATGAAACTATTAAAAGAAAACTACTGTTCCAATAGGATGAGGACTTGTGGCTGAGGGTAGTTTTTAGGTATACACCAATGAGACAACAAACCAAACAAAAAGGATAACCAAAAAAACATCTCGAGAGCAGCATATGCATGCGGTCTTTAACAATAGAAATGTGTCAATAAAATAGGTCAAGCTATTAATCATCCTTAATTTTAACCCTTTACACCCAATCACGCCTGTAGTCGTGATTGCAACCACCATTTTTTGATGGCCTGTATGACCCTCCATACTTTTTTTAGAACTGCCCCAGCTGAACTGTGTTGACAGCAGGGAGTTCAACCATGCAATCATGTTCCATAAATTCTTCCCAAATTTGTTATTATGAAAATACGGCAACCTTAATTCCCTTCTTCAAAATTGAAAAAATGTGAAAAAGTACTAGTAACCAAAATCAGGTGGGGGTGGGAGTCATTTGATGTCCCTTCGTTAATGGCATAGGCCATATGTATCAACTATTTTTCTAAATACACGCTTAGGTGGAACAGGAATACAAGGAGGTATAACAAACTGGTCTGTAAAATCTAGGTCTCTGTTTTGTCAGAAATCTGTAAAAACGGACATTTAGGCAGACCTGGCTTGCCAATAATAATTCCCCAGCAAGACACTCAAGTCACATTCACTTCCAGTCAGTATGGATGGACTGCTGTAACTACAAGGTAATAATTGAATGACAAAGAAACACAGTTTGGTCAATGATCACGTCTCAAGGTTGTATTAAAAACGAAAAAAAATCAGCTGGGGTGGGTTTAAATCCACCGGAAAATACTTGTGAACCTTTAAAGCACAAAAAAGGAAAAATCAACTCTACAGGTCATTATCACATAGAAACTGCAAATTAGTAATAAGTAAAAAAAAATCCACTAACAGGTAAAGTACTTTGTATAAATGATTTGCCAACTATTTTTCGTTATATCAATCAGATATGCAACATTATTGATGTTTTCAGTGTAATATACACCAATATTAAACTATGTAAATGGCACGACGTATTTTAGAACAGATGTAAGATCTTAATATCCTACAAATGATCATTAACTATGTCATATATGCTTCATTTTAAAAATAGAAGCAATATGTACACCATGAAAATAAATCTCATATTGACAGTAGCATTACTAGTTTTTATTGCAGGTAAAGTCATAACATTTTTTTATCAATGTTTTTAAATATACTGTACTTGCTTTCATTTTTCTTGTTTTGCTTTATTTGAATCGACGAAACGTTGAATAATTAGTAGTTAAAAATGTTCAGCAAGTCCTGATGAATGCAACCAACAAGTCGTGAAATTCAAGTTATTTATTTTGTTTAATCGGTTCATCAAATTATTAATTAGTTTATTATAAAATCTCTCCAGGGCCTCTGTGTGTAAGTATCTCTTGTCCACTATCTTTTTGCATTGGTTTAGACTTCAATAATGGTTGTCGAATGGTCACAAGCGCTTGCTTCTAAAGGAGTTGTTTGCAATTTTATAACGCTTCAAATTCCAAAGAGCACTACTTGTTTTAGACTGCAAAACGTCTTTATATATTTGACTTTGCCACATAAGCAATTTTATAGCTGTTGGTACATATTATATCTTTCATTTTGTGTTCAATGAATTACAGTCTAGCAGTGAATAAGCCAGTAAAACCAATTTTGTGTTTGCGAATCTCGAGGATTATCACTTCAATGGCTAATTTCCATTGAATGGGGCATTTCTTAATTTCTTTTGCGTTTTGGTGTGAGCATTCGGATTTCTAAGCTTGCTGTTATTGTAATCATTGTTTGATGTTTTCAAACAACCTATTTACGTATATAACAAAATAAATGGCGTACGTATATTATGAAAATAAGAATAGCACGTGCTCTTCCTTTAACTTTCAATACTCTCAGACGGGAAACTATTCGATAAGGATGAATTTACTTTAACATTTGTACTCTATAATTTTACAGTGCATGCTAATAGGATACAGATTCAGCAAAGTGTGATCAAACTTCATCCTAGTAACGAAGATTTTGATATCAAAGGTTGCACTATAAGTAGCGAGAAGCTTCTATTCACTGACAAAAGAAACAAAAGGATAATAATACACAATGGAGCCGGTACTCATATCGAGGACATTTCACTTTCTAGTGAACCATTCGATATCGTTGCTTTAGATGTTGACAGTGTTGCTGTTTCGTTTGGTAGAAATAGATATATTGAAAAAATCAATATCAATACAAAAGCAGTCACCAAAATACACTTGGGCGGAAATTGCTGGGGACTTTCATATGACGGTGAATATTTGTACGCGGTCATCGACGGTTATGGTATTTATGTTGCGGTAGTTACGCTAGCAGGAGAACTTATTAAAAGAATTCCCGTAAGTAGCGAATTTGACCAAACTGAATATATTACAACGCACGAAACGAATGTCTACTTCTCAGTATTTATTCCCAAGAACATTGTAAGCATGAACTTGAATGGTAGTGTTCAATGGCAGTTTCAGAAAAACATTTTCAATCAGCCAAGGGGAGTAACCTCTGATATCCATGGAAATATTTTTGTCACTGGATTTTCGTCACACAATGTGGTTGTTGTTGAGAACAATGGTCGTGAGTGTAGTGAATTACTAAATAAGGGAAGTGGAATACACTATCCGACATCAATTTACTTTGATAGGACAAAAGAAAGGTTGCTAGTTAGTAATTTAAACGACGGATTTGCCTATCTTTATAACATCGTGTATAATTGACGTTTTGGTTTAGTGCTGAAGGAAATTTTATATTATACAAATGTTATCATCATGTCGTATCCAAAGATAATTTTTAAAGAAAGCAATACACGAAATAACAAAATTATATGGCAAGTAATGTAATGCATTAGTTCAATTCTTATTCTTTAAATTTCACTCTGTTCAACTGTTTTTATTTTGTAATCAAGTGATGTTTATTTTCAAAGACACTTAGTAACGAACTCCAATTCAAGCCCCACAACGCGCGGCTAACTCATAAACCATACGAATTATTTAAAAATACTTTGTTCTTCACTTGCTTCACTAGTCATGTGCTTATGACGGGACCAACAACCTCCTTGAAGAAATAGCTCTATTTCTATCATTAAGAAAGTGTTTCGATAACTTTCTGGTGACGAGAAAAACTCAAAGAAGAAAATCGTGGCTTAAACCACAAGCTCCGAAATTTCATTTCACTTGGGAAAGATTTATTCCGTTCAGTAGGTGCTGCTTGATTAAAGCCTTACAAAAATTGAAAGTCCACAACGATGAAAAAAAGTGATCTTTAATTTCGTCAAATCATACTGTTTAGAATGATGTTAAGAATTTTTAAAGAGGGATAGAGAAACGCAGTTTGATATGACATCCTTGCATTTGAACACATTTGGACAACTGGAAACTAAACTTAATATAAACTGCTAAAGTTATAACATTTTGTAATTTCTAACCTATCGTTAGTTCTAAAATAGATGTTTGCAGTATAAGGTAACCACTTTATAGTTCAACTTAAATGGAAACAAATTGATAACAAGTAAAATTTAAAAAAAAAATAACGAACTCTAAGGAAAATTCAAAACGGAAAGTCTCTTATCCATTGGAAAATCAATAGCTCAAACACATCAAACTAATGAAAAACAACCGTTATATTACTGACTTGGTACAAGCCTTATGCAGAAAATGGTTGCTTAAACTAGGGTTTATAGCTAGATAAACCTCTCACATGTATGATAAGTCGCATATAATTCCATAATATTGACAACAATGTGTGAACAAAACAAACAGACATGATAGGTAACAATGTTAAAAATTGGGGTACAGCAGTCAATATTGTGTTATAATCTTAATCACCATAAAAACAAAAACCTATTTCAACAAAGAAAAAAAAATGGCATAAAGACTCTATAGTCAAAGCTAATAGACATAAAATGACCATAGCACAATAACAATGGCGGGATGCATAAATACAGAACCACACAAAAGGGATATTACCTAGAATAGACTAAAAAGTGAAGGTTAAAAATTTACAAAGACAAATAAAAAGAACACTATAACACGTTACTAAGATGATAAATAACGTCAGTACCTAGAATCTATACTACAGGACCATCATGTGAAGTTGATACGGAATAACTATCAACAAGATTTTGGTATCTTCCGATGATCTTTCTTAGATAAAGGACGAGACGTTCTTTGACATAACACTGGATCATGGTCCTATGGTTGTTAACGTTTTATGACATCGTTCGTGTTTAGACGGTTATCCCTTTTAGAAATAAACAAGAACTGATAGTATGTATACGGAAACATGTTGTCTGCTATTAATGCAACTGTTTGCGGTGTAGCAACTCTTTCACCTTACTCATTTTGACACGATAGATTAGGATTCGATGATTGACAAATTCGAAAAAGTATTTTGCTAATTTGAATTAAGTATAAAAATGTAATTATACAAACTTAAAACTGGTATATGGATTTTGACAACTACTTTTTTGAATTCAAATTAAAAAAAAACAAAAACAATTGGAGGAAAAGCTTACTGTATAGTCAGCAGTACATTCGAACTATTGATATCGATCTAATTGAAGTTCAATTTTACGTTCAAATAAAGTTTGATATACCATCCAGTTAGATCGTAGATATAAATAGAAATTTAGTTGGAGAAGAACATATCACAGTATCATATATGACGCCGGACACAGTGCAGGCTATTGTACTACGATATCACAGAAGTATTTTCGCGCAAATTTGTTGAACTAATTGTTGCGGTAACTTTCAGACAAAGTATAATAAATTGCTGTGTTAGCCGTGTATAACCCGAGGTTATTCAATAGTAAACTTAATCTGTAAGGTTGTCAAATATTTAGACGTATATAAAAACATAATGTTGATGTAATTGCATAGTCATTATTAACATCCTCTACGACAGACAAAACAAACATAAAAGTAGAGGTCAACATGGCTTGCTCTTCTTTCTTATAATCTTATAACCTTTACATCCAGACATTGAACAATATGTAATATTATACACACATATTTTCTATCTCTTTTTAATCTTAATGTCGTCCTAAATATGAATGTAAAGCCAGCAAGCATTATATAAATCAATTAATCTCATATAGAATTCATCTCCAAGGTTTCTCGGGTGGCGGATCTCTGTGAATTGGGGATTGTGGCGATATTTATTCCCCACAATGCAAATTATTGTCATTTATTCAGTTTTGGTTTATTACATAATTGTTCATTACAGTCAGTTGTATCATGTTTTTATGGTTTCTGAATAAATGACCTTTTCTACCGAACGTCTCTAAAATAGTAATCATAATAAATTACTTATAATTCTTCTTAATTCCCAATTGAAATCGAATCTGTTTTTTTGAGAATATATTTTCGAATACAGGTCATCGAATGTTGAAAATGTTGATGGTATATGTTGCGTTTGAATGCTTATATATATTTATCTTAAATTGAATGCAAGTTTTTGTATATTTATCAAATTTGACTGATTTTGATAAAGGAATGCTAACAACAAATTCATCTTAATAATGCAGAAGGATAAAACTTAGTTATTAGTATGCATCGAATAGTGGTATGTAGTGATGTATAATCAGCAATTTAAGTGCATACTGTATTGAGAGGACATAACATTTTACAAAATTAAATCTCATTTCTTAATGATGCGTTTTTATTTTCATTACCATTTTCATTTGATAAAAAGTATTTAAAAAATTCATCAAAATCAGTATGCTTATCTTTTAGTACGCCAGACATATATATTAGCACATTATATGTATTTTAAAATTTTAATTCAAAATATCAAACAAAATATATATGGTTTGTTCACGATGTTACATGCTAAAAGGATATGGTCATATACAAACAAGAATACCATCCTACGTTTCAATGAACATAACAAAAGAAATTGTTTGATGAATAACCAAAATGATCAAAAACAGGTATCGTATATTTTCAATGGCTCATTTAATAAATCTTAATAACTCTGTTCCAGTCTATAATCGTAAATCCTGGGTAATTATCGTGTCATTTTAACGGTATCACAAACACTCCCTTTTCAAACTTAAATTTCACCTAATTACAACAAATAAAGAAATCATTTTTTTTTAAAAGGAAATGGACTGAAAGGATAATGTGAAGAAGTTGTTTGTTTTCCCCAAGATACCTTAAATTAAGTATTGTTACTTTTTTCTTTTCTTTTGTATTCTGTGTACGTCAATTCAATTTTCTTTTTTTACAGCAACTCTGTTGTTTATTGGGCTAAAATGCTATTTATACTGTTATACATGATACTGAACACGGACGAAAAACCAGTTACATACGATTATAATTTGATCAATTTCCGGTGAAGTTAGAAAAATTTCATTAACGTCTTTATCTATTTTGACCACAATGTGCAGCAATCACTATTCTGTATCTCCTCGGCAATGATGAAATCAAATTGGTATTAGGGCCTTAGATATCCTTTTCCATTTGATTTGGACGCTTCAATGATTAAGGTAGGGATAGGCGTAAAAGAACTATCAATTTAGTACTTAATATGTTTGGAGTTTAAATCCGTCAATTTTTAGGCCATGACAAAACATTTATGTTGTTTTGAGAAAAGAGTTAGCAAATTCATAGCAACTTTTGCTGTATATGACCGGGCATTGTCCAGTTTAAGCATTTTACTCTGTGACCTACATAGGGAATTTGTGGCTGCAAAATATCACCACTATATGTTGAGCCGGTAATCGTCCTTGGACACGCGATAGGTATGTTTTGCGATAGTAGAACTACTGTGCAAATCCTGTCGCTTCAAATCCCACATTATCTGTCGGGAGAAGGGGAAAACCGGTTATTATGAAGCCCATTTTCACGGGGTCATCCATCATCTTTGTGGAAAAGAAAACATGACTCATCTCGGATCAGAATTCGGCGTCATTTGCTCAAATATCAGACACAATGTGTGATAACAACGAACACAAATACGTGTGTATACTTCTGTCAAAACTTGACAACATATGGTCTTCTTTGCAAAATTATGCTTTGGCAGAGTCTCATACGAACTGTAAACCTTAGCTAATTGCAGCGTCGGTTATAATCGTGACATCTCGATAACGTAGATGGAACATCTTCATATACAAAGCTGGAGTAGTCAGGCGTAGCCTACCACTTTCAGAAATCTATTTCAAAGGCATAACATTAAGATGTGTTGAACGTTGTATTGTTGGTTGACTTCACTTTTAGTATGTACAGCATAGAGAACACCGATTACATTCATTAGTCTTAGATACATGATTTCATTTATTAGTTGTTAATGGCTTTGAACAAGCTGTCAATAACTGCGAGTACTCTCAGATATGTACTTGGTGATTTTTTTGTAAGGGACGAATAAATACCCTGCCGCGTCCAATCTGTGTTTTAATTAGATATTTTTCTGTTTTGTATAGATCCGAGAATACCACCAAATCATAGTACGTCACATCCGGTTTCATACGCATAAGGGACGAGTAAAATTACCCCTTGAATTTGACAGTTGTAAGAAATTAACACTACATTTCATTGCAGTCATCAACATATATCTTGGGTGTTTCAAAGTACTATTCATTTTTTTATTGGGTGATTCTATAAAATATTTTAGAAACTTGAGGTTATATGGTGACTAAAGCTTGGAAACAGGAAAAAAGGGTGAAAATTTAATTGGTTAACTTCCAGTGATGGTTACTATTTTATATGCAATGACATATTATTTAAAACTCCGTCTGTAGTACTGGACAGGATAAAACTTTTCTCATGCCAAGTATTTCTTTATTTGAAACAAAGATCAATTCTGCATAATGTTATGAAGATACAAATATTTGTTTTAAAAATTTAGCTGTACACGAACATGTAGAATTCTAAATATTTAAAACAGGATATAACATTCTTATATTTACGGTGATGTCATTAATTGAACTCGTAAATTTAGATACGAACCATATAAAATATGACAAAAAATGTGTAAAATTTGCGATATCATATCAAAATGTCTTCAACAGCAACATGTAGTGCTGAATAGCATTATTATTTCATGAAAATATTTAAAACTGATGCAATATTCAAAGCAAGTCTAGTGAATGAAATGAACTCTTTATAAACTCTTGAATGTAAACTTTTCTGAAAGATATGATCCTGTGACTGAAACAAATATAGTAAAATTGGCAATACCATTTATACTTTGTATACCTTCAGAACGCAGTAGTTTTCTTAAATACAAATGTATCTCCATCTTTTACATCAATCAAAATATAGGATCTAGCGGCTTTGTGGGCTGTTCACGTAGCCTTGCTCACAAAAAGATTGTAGATTTGCACTTAATTCCTACATGGATTAACATTACTTCTCAGTCATGCAGTAAAATATTCAAATGCATTTAACATTAATTTCATATTGTTTTAATCCTTTTTTGTCACTTTAGTAAAAAAAAGAATATAAATTTTAACATTATTGACCAATCCAGTCTAGCACAGGATTTGAATGTTATCACGTTCCAAATTATGGGCGGTCCTTGATGACGTATATTTACTTACCCAAATCATCCCAATAACATATCGGTATCCATCCGCTTTAAATCACAATTATAAGTAAGTACACGGATATACATTGAAATATTTTCAAATGCAGCCATAAAGGTAAAACAACTTTTAGATAAGCGATTGTATCGATTTTAAAATGGTTGGAACAATGAGAAATGTACTTCCATTAGGCTGTCCGTAAAAGGCATATCTAGCGAACGTCTCTAAAAGTAAGCAATAAAATATTAGTTATAATTCGTCTTAATTCAAAATTGAAATTGAATAAGGTATTTTGAAAATAGAACTTCGAATACAGAAAATCGAATGTTGAATATTTGAAGGGTATATGATGCGATTGAATGTTGAAAGTTGTAACTCGAGTATTGAAATTTTAATTATAGAAAATTTGAATATTGAACATTGAGTAAAGAACCTTGGAAGGGAATATTGAACTTTGAAAATTCAATATGTTTGAATGATTGATATCGAATGCTGAATGATAATAAATAGAAAAGTGAATTTCGAAATCATCTGTAAAATGCTGACAAACTTAATATTCAATATTTAATTTGAAAATATGAATGTTGAATGATAATAAATAGAAAAATTAATTTTGAAATCAACTGTAAAATGCTGACAAACTTAATATTCAATATTAAATTTGAAAATATGAATGTTGAATGTTGAAATCGAATGTTGCAATGAAATGTTGAATGATAAAATTGAATGTTAAACGTTCAATGTTGAAAAACGAATATTGAAATCGTATATTGATTATTAACAGTTGATTGTTGACAACTGAAATCGAATGTTGAATGTGTAAAGATTGAATGTTGAATGTCAAAATCGAATGTTGAATGTTTAAGTGCAGTAATTAAAATTGAAACCGAATGATGAATGTTGAGTAAACTGATATTAGATTATGTTGATATAAATATTTATCGTAAACTGAATGTTGATCTTTGAATATTTTCAAACTTGATTGATGTTGAATGATTAAAGATAATTCCATCTTGATAATGCAGATTTGAATAAAAAAAAACTCTCACTTCGCTATGAATCATTGTCATGCATCAAATCTAGACAAATAGCGATATATGTTATATAAACAATACACTTTAGGAGTTGTGACATGCGACAATAATAATTTCCACCACTCTGCATTGCCAATAATTTAAATTCCTATAGGGTAGTACGGCGGGCATGCGGACGGGGTTTCGGTCGGCACATAGAATACCAATACCAAGTTTGATTTTGACAATTAATCCGGGTTTGCAGTCTCTTGTTTTAAAAGAATTGATAAACGTAATTATGATAAGTGATCATTTCTAATTTTCGTACAAGTTAGAGAAAATGCATGTTTTTAACGTGTGTTTATATGATAAATAATGATTAATTTTGATTTTTTTGGGCATGTGATCGTTGCTTCCAACATATTTTAGCTTGAAAGAATTTGTACATGTGGCATATTTTTCTTCTTTTGTTAAAGGAAGCCCTTCCTTACTAAAACTTTCGACAAAAAGGAAGTTATTGTACGGTATGACGTCATAAAGTGGAAGTTATAGTACAGACTTGCTGTTCCCTTTAGACATCCTTTAGACATTTACATAGTCCAACACATGAAGCCATGACACAAAGTGATGTAGAATCAGCAATTAAAGGACATAATGAAAGAACATAAATTATTTACAAAATTAAATCGTATTACTTAATGTGACGTTTTAATTTTTTATATATAATCATTCGCAAAAATATATATTTGATAAAGAAATAATCATAATTACCATGCCTATCATTCAGTACGCCAGACACATATATAAAGACATTAAATGTATTTCAAATTTACTTCAAAATATTAAACAAAACATAAAAGGTTTATTCACATCAAAGATTGTATTTTCACGATGATAACATTTTAATGGGGATATGTTCATGTACATGCAAGTATAACATCCTTCTTTAAAACTAATTTACTTGTAACAAAAGAAGTTGTGTGGTGAATAAGCAAAATAATTATAAGAAAAGAATATCTTATTCGTTCAATTTAAGAGACCTTTAATAACTCTGTTCCAGTTTAAAATCGCAAATCTAGAGCAATTTTCTTGTCATTTAAACGATCTGACAAACATTCTTAAATTTCATATAATTACAGTAAATAGACAAGAAAAATGATTGAAAAAGTTTTTAAAAAAATGAATTGAAAGGATAAGAATTCAAATTATTTTTTTATGCCAGAATCATTTTAAATCTGTACGGTGACATGTTTGAATGAAACCTATATTCTGTGAAAAAAAAAGAACGGCACTATGTTTTTTTTTTTTATTCTAAGTCAAATTTACTTGTTACATATGTCCTTTGTTTATTGAGCCAAAATGTTACACATACTGTTTTACATTTGTTTTGTGTGTTTGAGCTATTGGTTTTGACGTTTGTTAAGGGACTTTCCGTTTTGAAGTCGATTTCGGGGCCTTTTATAGCTGACTATGCGGTATGGGCTTTGCTCATTAATGAAGGCCGTACGGTGACCTATAGTTGTTAATTTCTGTGTCATTTGGTCTGTTGTGGAAAGTTGTCTCATTGGCAATCATACCACATCTTCTCTTTTATATTCTCAATAATAAGATGAATTTCTATTCCATATTTATTCACCAGCCAACGGAAATTCATCTTAAAAAAAGATTAGCCTGCAACTAAAACTATTTGTATGTTTATAATGTCACCTTCAAATTCGCATAGTCATTAAAATATGTATACAATAGATATAAGAAGATGTGGAATGAGTTCCAATGAGACAACTCTCCATCCAAGTCACAATATGTAAAAGTAAACCATTGTAAATCAAAGTACGGCCTTCAACACGGAGCCTTGGCTCACATCGAACAGCAAGCTACAAAGGGCACCAAAATGATTAGTGTAAAACCATTCAAACAGGAAAACCAACGGTCTAATCCATACATAAAACGAGAAACGAGAAACACTTATGAACCACATCAACAAACGACAAATAATTGCAGAAATCCCATTTTTTTAAAAAGATGACTGTAGTAGTTTTTATTGTCTGTATATGTTTTGAATGCGTCTAATTGAGTTTGATAATCATTTGTCGTATAAATATTTCACGAAGCATCATTAATACAGAGAAATCATTATACATCTACAAACATCAACACATTAAATTATACAATATTACATTACTTATTTTACTAAAGTGTATCCAGGCCTGTACAAGATATCAATTTTGGCATATTGACAGCTATGACAATAGTTGTTTTCAAATACAATTGTTTGGTAATAGTTTAATTACATCTATTAAAAAATGTATGAATAATGTATTTTAGAAATTTCTTTTATAAACGTTGAAAATTTAAAACAACTTCGAGTAAAACGATATTTGATTCATACACCCTTGTGTGTATTGTTGAAAATTTCTACAGCTCATGGATGTAGGAACATGGCCCGTATGCATAAAACATCTTAACTTAAAATTGAGAATGGAAATGGGGAATGTGTCAAAGAGACAACAACCCGACCATAGAGCAGACAACAGCCGAAGGCCACCAATGGGTCTTCAATGCAGCGAGAAACTCCCGCACCCGGAGGCGTCCTTCAGCTGGCCCCTTAAACTTAAATTTCACTAAGATATCCCGTAGTTAAGTAAAATTATGAAGTTGTATGCATAGAATTACTTAAGTCTCCACTTAAGTAAGGAATATAAAAATCGGAATCTTCTCTAGTTACCGTATTATACACTCATCCGTGCAAAAGTTTGTGTTGATAATTTATATTGATTGAACAATACTTTTATGAAGAAATAGGGTTAAATTGATGTTGGTTTGCATAACAATTAAAATAAAATACGTTACCAAATGCCAAATTGATGCAATAGAGAAAACGTCATTTTAATGGACGAGCAACGAGCATGAAGAGATTTTTTTTAATTTGTAATACAAATTTCCCCCTACTGTTACTACAGGAGAGACAAAGGAGCTTGGAAGGAATTTTGTTGATTTAGTAATGTTGGTTTTACGCCAAGTTGCAAATGTTTCATGCATGTTCAGGAAGAGAACAACTTAACAACGCATACAATAAATTTGCCTTGCAACTGGCACAATCTTTACATCGGCATCGGTTTTAACGTCCACATTCTGACCGGACGTGGCTGCGTACTTATATATCCTGCCCAGACAAACGGACGTCCAACATTTGCAAGGCCTATATCAACAGAAGTGGACCAAATTATGTATGGAGTTTTAAATGTAAAATATCAAAGTATTTCTAAATTATCCACTAGCAATGTTTTTTAGTGCAAACAAAACTTCACTCACACGAGCAGTCGCTTAATAGATACTCCACATTATCTTGTAGCAAATGATACAATCGATAATTGTAGATTATATAGACTTCGAATTCCATTCTTTTATACCCTTCCGATTTTTACCCAGTTAGTGAAACACATTCAGGGATATTTGGCCTATATCTTTTGAAAAAAACTATATAACTGAATATATTTTGCATTCCGGAAGATCTTCATTGCTTCCTTTATAATGTTTAGTACTTATCTAGCACTTCAACGTTCAATGTTATTCATTAAAACATGCACTAACAGAGGAATCAGTAAAAAAAATAATAGCAATAATTCCGTAAGAGTAAAAAATGTGTAAGTTCTTGTCGGAATAGCGAAATTGAGACATAAGAGTAGAATGAAATTATATACCTACCCTCTGTTATAAATTGATTATGTGATTTAGAGAAAATTACAATAGTTGTGACTATTAAGCAACAAAAAAAAAAAATTAAAATAAAAAAAAAAACCGAAATATTACTGATATAATTAATAAACAGTTAAATGGTAGATATTCCATCCATGTTCTGCAACAATAATGACTTGTCACTGATTTTAATCTGTTTTTTTCTTCTTTTAAATTTAAGGTACCTTACACTAAAATATAATCTTAAGCGTTTTAGTCGTTTAATGAGTAATATGCATACCATTTAAGATTTGTTGGCGTGACTTAATCCAACTAAGATTGTACTAAGGAAATTCTTATTTTAAGGTTGTGAATGCATACCACTAAGGTAAAAAAGGGCGGGCAGAGTTTCTTTAACATTAGTGTTTACTAAAGAAAATATAAACTTAAGTAGCTTTATGCATATGGCCATGAGCTCTAGATGACGGAATTATATGGTTGGTCTACAGAAAAAAAATGAAAGGTACTTCTTTGGATTTTTT